TAATATATATATATATATATATATATATATATATTTATAAGTATATATATATATATATATATAAGTACATATGAAAGATTTGGATAAAAACTACGTAGGTGGATATTGTTCAGAGTGTGATGAATGTAGTTGGATTGTGCCGTATGTGATGTGTTGTGGTGCATCTGTAGTAGTATCGAATGTTTGCTGAGGGTATTTTCATTGTTGTTATTTAGTTGATTTATTGTTGTCGTTGTCGTTGTGACGTCATTGTTGTTGATGTAATGTTGTTGATGTCATTGCTGTTGTTATAATTTTTATCCACGCGTTTGGTTTTTTATTAATTTTTGTATTTACATATTTTTTTTTTTTTTTTTGAAAAACACTTTTTCTATGAAGATGTACGTTTTAAATTTTTGTTCAAAATTCTTTTATGTAGTATATATTTCTGTGATGAATGTTGATTTTGGCAATAATAAGTATAATAATAATAATAATTAGTATTATTGTTATTTTATTATTATTATTTTTTGTTCAAAGCAAACTTCCCTATAGACAAGTAGCAGTATAAAAATGCTTTTGTGTGTAATACATTTCCTATGATTCCGCTGATATGGCTTAATCCTTAGAAAATTAAGCGCTACTAAAATACACAAATTTAGCAACAACAACAACAGTAATAACAACGATAACAACGACAATAATTATGATAACAATAATAATAGTAGTGGCAGTAATAATAATAATAATAATAATATAGAAAACATTAAACAACAACAACAATACAATAACAACGACATTTTTACATCAAAAACAACAACGACATTTGTAACATCTTTAACATATTTAACAGAGACAACAGCAACATCAGCATTGATGCTATTACAACATCAGCGTCAGTATTATAATAACAACACTTAACATCAACAACAACAATAACAACAACAATAACAACAACTACACAAGGACACAACTTAAAATCTCACGACGACGACAGCCCTGACAGCATCAATAGCACGAACATCAACAACGACAAAGACATTAACAGCCCCATGACATCAACATAACGACACCAACAACCGCCACAACAACACCAATTCAACAGTTATAAACGCGAATGAGATGGATATCTTGGTAACATATCGCCAAATACATGTTTTCATGTATTATAATATCTTTCGCTTGAACTCCTTTACTACATTATTTTCATTACTATTGCTAGTAATGCTGCAGCTACTACCACTACTACTACTCTTATTACGGCAATAGCTACTACTACTACTACTACTACTACTACTACTACTACTACTACTACTACTACTACTACTACTACTATTACTACTACCAGTTTAGCAGCAGTAATAGTTTCATTAAAAAGTAGTAGTAGTAGTAGTAGCAGGTGGCTAGTGGCAACAGTAGTAGCAGCATTAGTAGTAATAGTATCTGTGAAGGTAATGGCGATTTTAGTAGCAGTATAGTTGCAGCAGTAGTAGGAGTGACAAAAAAGCAGTAGTAGTAGCTGTAGTGTCGGTAGTAGTAGTAGTAGTAGTAGAAGCCGCAGCCGTAGTAGTAGTGGCAGTAGCAATAGTTGTAGTAGTAGAAGTAGTAGTAGTAGTAGTAGTAGTAGCAGTAGTAGTAGTAGTAGTAGTGGTAGTAGTAAAAGTAGCAGTAGCAGTAGTAGTAGTGGCCGCCGTAATAGTAGTAGCAGTAACGTAGTAGAAGTAATAGAGGCAGCGGCAGTAGCGATAATAGGTGAAAAACTTCCAGCAAACGTTCGGGAAACTCGGTTTAATTGTTGATTTTTATGGCCGTCCTCGCTTTCCAGACGTTTCGTCAACCGCATAAATACTCGCGCTCTCACTTTTTCTCCTCCTTATCTCTCCTTTATTCTTTTTTTTATGACATTATTAATGTTGTTACTATAATGTTATTTTTGTTTTTTTTTCTCGATAAATGTTTACTCTCTGCTTATTTTTATGTTTTTTTCTTGACGGCATGTTTGTCCGATGTATTTTCTCTTTCCGATGCTTTGTATTTGCCTTTAATGTCTTTCTTTCTCCCTTTCTTTGGTTTTTCTCTATATTAATTATCACTTTTCTTCAATCAATTTGTTTGATATTCTTTTTTTTATTATCTCTTCGTTCTTTCCATCCAAAAAAGTTTTTTTTAGTTCAAATTTATGGTAGGAAAACATTATCACAACGTTACTGTCCTCAATATGATCATCATCATCGTCGTCATCATCATTATCATCATCGTCATCATCATCATTATCATCATCATCATCGTCATCACCATCATAACCATGATCATCATCATCGTCGTCATCCTCATCATCATCACCACCACCATCACCATCATTATCATCAACGACAGGTGTCATGGCGCAAAAAAGGTGACATCCATCCACTCACGATTGGCACTTTTACGTTCGTAGACACTGAGAACAAATACAAAGCCACCAAAATCATTGTGGCCAACGTAGCTACCACAACTACCACTGCTGCATCTACTACTACGACTGCTACTGCTATTGATACTATTACTAATATTTATGATGAAGAAATTGATGACGATGGTGGTAATTTAATTTGTATTTGATGAGTAATTTGATAAATAATATTAATTAATATTTTTTGTAAAAACTACAATCTATTACAACTATCATTATTATTTTTATTATTAGTAGTAATAATACCCCCATACCACTACTGCTACTACTACTGTTGCTGCTACTACTACTGTTGCTGCTACTACTACTGCTGCTGCTACACATTAAATATAATAAAAGGTACTCATAATAACAACAATAGCAACAATAACTCCCATAATATACCTCTTACACTAACACCTGATCAGATAGTGTTGATGTGTCGTCTGCAGTGAGCAAGTTGGGTGCGTCTAATCACATCGTTAAGAGCGGGGAGACAGTTTGGCGGGAAGTAAATCACCAAACGCTGAATCCCAGCATTAAACAACAGCTGCAGGAGCGAGAAAGACAACAACTGCACCAACAACAACAACTACAGCAACAACAACAGCAACAGCAACAACTACAGCAACATCAACAACAACAACTACAACAACAGCAACAACTACAACAACAACATTATCAACAATGGCTTCTATCTCAGCAACATCATCAACAACAACAACATCATCAACAACAACATCATCAGCAACAACATCAATATGGCCTACATCAACAACAACAACAACAACAGCAACATCAGCTCAGTTGGTTACATTATTTACAACAAAAAAACAAACAACTATTTCACGACTCATTACATCATCAGCAACAACATCAACAACATCAACATCAACAACAGCAACAACATCAACAATACTCCAATCAACTTGTGCAACAAAATCCGACACAGCTATCCCAGCCTATAAATAACGTTAATATAAACGACAAAAATTTCAATAAATACAACACCAACAACAACAACAACAACAACAACAACAACAACAACAACAACGTCTACAACAACAACAACCATGAAGTCTACATCAACAGAACATCTAGCGAAAATGACAAAAAATTCGACAATGATGAGGATGATGGTGATGTCGAAGATGATGTTAATGCTAATAGTATGGCAACATGGCGAGATAGCGGGGCCGTGAGAGACTCAGAAAGATTGAGAGATAGTGAGAAAGTGAGCGGAATGCATAAAGCTCAATTAAAAGATGACAGGCATCTACGCGAGCAACAACATCATCAACAGTTTCTGCAAACGAAACAACATCAACAACAACATCAACAACAACCCCAACAACAACACCAACATGTACACCACCACCAACAACAACAACAACATCAACAACAACGACAACAACATCGACAACATTTTTTTGACAGCACACTCAATGAAAACGCACGCGCCACTAGCGACGACAACAGCCACATCGTAAACACCGCCAACAACATGAACGACAACAGCATAAACAACGGCAGCGGACATTTGAAAGCCCAAGCCGGAAACGGAAATGGTTCTGGTCACGTGACCGGAAGCGCCGGAGTAGCGAAGCGTCGACCTTATCAAGTTTTGTCGTCGCCGGCAAAAAACAAAAATCTGAACAAACAAAACGACGGCGGCAATGATGACGATGACAATAATAATAATAATAATAATAATAATAATAATAATAATAACAATAATAATAATAATAATAATAATAATAATAATAATAATAATCACGATGATGATGTTGATATCAGCGATAGTAATGATGATGGTGACGACGATCTACCCTTGTACAGTATTGACTATGCGTATGATGATGATGATGATGCTACAACTGCTGTGGTTGATGATGATGACGATGATGATGAGGACGATGATGATGATGATGATGATGATGACAACGATGCTACAGCTGTTGCTGTTGATGATGATAATGACTATTTTAATGATGAAAGTATCAACAAAGATGACGATGATGATAAAGAAGAAGACGATGATGACGACGACGATGATGATGATAAAGATGGCGATGATGATGTTGTAGAAGATGATGATGATGATGAAACTGTCAATCATCAATTTGAAAAAAATATAAACATCCTCGATAATAATAGTAACAATAAGATAAACAACGATAATAATAATAATGATAATGGTAATAATATTTACTACAGAACTTTCGCATATAACAAAAACCAACACAACAAAAACCTATACAACAGCATCTTCAGAAAGAACAACAACAACAACAACAACATTGTTGAGAAATGGTCTCTCTTTATTAACAATACAACCGCCAACGATCAAGGTGAATGAATGACTGAACGAACGATGTAGAATTGAACGAACGAACGAATGAAAAAAGGAACGAACGAACGAACGAACGAAAGAATGAATGTATGAATGAATGAATGAATGAACGAACGAACGAACAAACGAAAGAAAGGAATGAATGAATTAAGTACAAACGAACGAACGAACGAATGAATGAATAACTGGATGAAAAATTAATATTAATTATTTTATTATTTAGGAATCTATCAGTGTCAGATAAACACAAAAGATAACCAGAAAAAGTTCTACGACATCTATTTGAAAATAAAAAGTTAGTGGATGGAGAGATGGAAAATATGGAGGACAGAATGAGTAAACAAATGATTGATTGGATGAATGAATGAATGGATGAATGAACAAACTAATGAGGAAGTGAAAGAAAAAACGAATGAATGAATGAGTTAATAAATAAATGTATAAAAAATTTCCTGAACTAAAAAAATGAAGTTGGGATTTATCACAACACATTAAATTTAACAATAAATTTACACATTCATTCATTCATTAGTTCACTCGTTCATTCATTCATTCATTTATTCATACATTCATTCATTCACTCATCCATCCATCAATCCATCCATCCATCCATCCATTCTTTCACTCATTCATTTATTTATTCATCCGAAATAATTATTGAACCATAAGATATTTCACAAAACATCGTCATTATTTTTATTCAAAAAAACCACCAACCAGGCTTATCCATTGAAGGCACGCAGACCGCAGAACTTGGGGGTGTAATAAGAATCATCTGTAACAAGTCACTTTCCATCACGTGGTCGTCATCGTCATCATCATCATCATTATCATCGTCATCATCATCATCGTCATCATCATCGTCATCATCATCATCATCGTCATCATCATCATCATCGCCATCATCGCCATCTTCATTATTGTCGTTGTTTTCATCATCGCCATTCCAGCTTGGCATAAACATTAACAATCATCACGGTAGTAGTAGTAGTGGTAGTAGTAGTAGTAGTAGTGGTAATAATAATAATAATAACAATAATAACAATAATAACATCGAGTCGTTATTCCTGTGGTATAAAGACGACGAACGCATTGCAGTGTCATCGTTCGGTGATCTAGCAAAATTTTCAACTACTACTACTTCTAATAACAATAACAATAATAATAATAACATAAAGAATAACAACAATAATAATAATAACAATAATAACAACAATAACAACAGTTACAATGATAAGTATTCGGTCGACAATTACTACAATTACACCTGGATAGCCAGCGTCCTCACGATAAGAAACGCCACTTGGAGTGACGGTGGCAAGTATGAATGTGTCGAAAGCACCAGGGAAAGCAGTAGTAGCATCGCCAGCAGCAGCAGCAATAGCAACAGCAGTAGTAGTAGTAGTAACAACGGTGATGCTATTTATAGTAACGGTAATAATAATAATAATAATAATAGCAAGAGAAGGAGTAATAATAATAATAATAATAATAATAATTATAATAAAAGTAGTAGTGTTGATGGTGATGATGATGATGGTGGTGGTGTTGATGGTAACAATGATGATGGTGAGGGCGATGGTGGTGGTGGAGATAATGATGGTGATGGTGGACAAAATGGTGATCTGAAAAATGTAGGCTTCGATGTAGATGACGATATCCCTGATTATGATCAGCAGTACAACTTTTACAATCACGATGATGATGATAACAACAACAACAGCAACTACAACAGCAACAGCAACAACAACAACAACAACAGCAACAACAACAACAACAACAATAATAACGAACACTTGAACATCGAAGGCAAATCAAACGAAGGTGATGTGAAAACAAACGATATAGAGAGTGATGATGATAACGAAAACGAAGATGCTGATGACGATGATGATGAAGATGAAGAAGATGATGACGATGATGATGACGATACCAATGATGATGATGATAATGATGATGATGAAGAATCCGTCCCGCTGTCTTTTAACTCTGTATACTTGAATGTCAAAATTATAGACGGTTGGGATTATATTATTATTATCATTATTATTATAATTATTATTATTATTATAATTATTATTTATATTGATATTATTATTTTTATTATAATTATTATTATTATTATATTTTGTAATTATTTTAATGCAATACTGGATGGAAAGATGGTTAAGATGCATGCCATTGAGATTTAATGTAGATGCAATGTGTGTGTGTGTTTGATTGTGTATGTGTGTCTGTGTGTGTGTTTCTGTGTTGTGTACGTGTGTGAACGTGTGTGTGTGTGTGTGTGTTTGATACTTTTGAAAAACACTAATTAAAACTTGAAGAATAAAATATTACTATTTTTTAATATTCAGCTCCATCGAAAAGAACAGGTAAGTTTCGGATGGAATAATTATAATATTCATAATAAAAATAATAAAAAATATCTTTTTATTGTTCTTATTATTATTTTTATCATCATCGTCATTAATATTAGTTATAATATTTGTTATTATATTGCTGAAATAGTTATAATAATAATTATTATTATTACCATTTTTACAATAATAATAATAATATTACGAGAATTTTTTATTTCCTTACCACATAACTTCTCCCATATTTTCATACAGGATCGAGAAGCGGTCATATGAGAAGCGAAGCTTCACTTACTATTAAATCAAATAACAACAATAATTATTATTTCCTTATTATTAACTTATTATTTATAATAATATCTAATTATGAATAGTTTTTTCATAATTTGTCTATTGAAATTTGGATCGGATTCAAAGGTCGGGTACCTATGGCGACGACAAAGGTGCTACCTTCAATTGAGACTCTAATTGGGATTTAAGAGAGTTGAGAAGTCTCAACTAAATCTTATTTAATTAAGATTTAGTTCAGATTCCTGAAAATAAAAAAGAGGTCCATAGTTATTTACATACTGGAAATCCTTAATATCAAAAGTTTCTTAATCAACCTTGGTTTCATTTGTTAGAAATTTATTTATTTAAAATTATTTTATTAAGATGAGTGTTTTAGGAACGGAAAATTTGAAAAAATTTTTTGGTTTGTATTATCTACTTTGGAGAGACCTAATTTTAACCAAAACCACCTTCTTGTGGAGGTTCCTTTCGGTAGAGCCCTAAGGGGTAGGCCCTCCTGTTCCACTTTAAATCCGGCCCTGGATTGTAATATTTATCAATGTAACTATAAGCTTCACTTGTTGTCATTTTCAATAATATTCATTTCATTCGTTATTCACACATTTATTCATTCATTCATTTATTCTTTCGTTCGTTCGTTCGTTCGTTCGTTTGTTCATTCATTCATTCCTTCATCCGTTCATTCAATCATTCGTCCATTTATTCCTAAATTCATTCATTCACTCATTCATTCATTATTACAAGCAAATGTTTATTGTATATACAATAACCTAATTATATTATGAAAACATTATTTTATAAAAAAAAATGTATAACGTAAATAATATAATTAATATATTGTAACAATAATTATTTTTCAATTAAAATATTAAATGTATTAGTATCGTTAATTGACTATGCTTATTTAATTCATATGATGCTGGTTAGATGATTATTAATTATAATTATAATTATTGAAGTGATGCATTATAAATATGTATGTATTTGATGTTTTTAAATTACGTTTCATTTACAATTTAATTACATGTAAATAAATCACTTTAAAGATGTAAACCATACCGACATGTTTTCTCGCATACATTCACGCATAAATACACACATACAATGAAACTCATACGCTTAAAAGCATACATACTTTTACACATACGTCACACCACACACATACACATACCTATACACATACAAGTGCATATGTGACCATAATGATACGTATATACACATGTCAAACATAAGCACACACATATCTATATATATACATAAGTGTGTGTGAGTGTGTAAGTGTGTGCGTGTGTGTGTTTCTTGTTTATTAATGACACTATATTTTCAACTTGATGTGTGACTTAACTAAACAAATGAACAACTTTTTTTGTCATTATTTGACTTTTTGTAACATTTCAACGTCATTATTGATTTTGAATTTTATTTAATCTATGCAAAAAATGCATACCAATTGTATATCATAGATACATAAATCTCACATACATACAAGTGTATATGTATTCTCACATATACACATACATACACACACATACACACACATACACGCACATACACGCACACTATTAATGTAAAAATATATTATTAGTGTTGTAATAAATTAATATCTGGATCTGCTGTAAATGTTTGAAATTCAATGTCAATCTATTTTAATCGGTTTTTAAATGTTCAAATATAATGTTAGAAACATTCTGTCTGCTCGCCTGTTCGTTCGTTGTTTACTAGTTCGTTCGTTTGTTCGTTCGCTGTTTACTAGTTCGTTCGTTGGTTCGTTCGATTTTTTTGTTTGGTTTGTCGTTCGTTCTATAGTTCGTTTCTTCATAGCCCGTAAATTTATGTGTGTATGTATGCTCATGTGTGTGTGTGTGTGTGTGTGTGTGTGTGTGGTGTGTGTGTGTGTGTGTGTGTGTTGGTTTTCTACTGAAATGAAGTAAAAAGTGTAAAAAGTAAAAATATCTTCTGAATTGAAGAACATTGTGTGATCGAGCGAACAAACTGACAGACACCAAAAATGGTAATAATTAATTTAAAATCCCAATTCGGGTGCCTATTATCTCCGAACACATACCTAGGAAGAATGCTTTATTAAATTGAAGAAAAAAATTTGAGATTTTATTGAAGCAGTAAGGCCCGCGTGACGTAAGTACCTTACACTTCAGCAAATACATTTTAATTTACTGAAGATTTACGTAGTTTTATTTTACACAAGTAAACTGCGTTTTAAGTAAAAAATTTTAAAGTTTGAAATTTTGAACTCCCCTGTCGATGTTTTCTGAAGATTCGTTCCTGCTTTTTAAATAATTTAAAAAAAGTCATTTTTTATTTGAAGCATTCGATTTAATGATTCGACGACTCCATTAAATGACACTAAGTCTAAAAAACTACGTAGCTGTTATTGATCGCCTTTCCCTTGCCACGGGCAGCCATTTTACTCATTGATCCCGACTGCAAGCATTCGTTCCACCTGAAAATTTTTGAAGAATTTGTATCGCTGGTCAATGCCATTAAGAAGGAAACTTGTGAAGATGAGCAGCCCAGCGAATGTTTTCGAATGGCAGCCCATGATACTACGTGGTTTCTTCTGGATTTTAAAACGTTCGAAGAAAATCAGTCACTTTATTTGTATGTTGTTTGAATATTTGCTAGAGGGTAAATTTTTTTTTAGAACAAATATCAAATTACGAAGATTTTGTAGGGAAAATTTTTAACTGCTCGCTGTTTTAATAAGTGATGAAAATATTATTTGGTGCATTATCAAAAATATTTTGACAAGGTAAGAACCTTTTGGTGCAAAAACATGTTTCAGGTTTGATTGCTATAGCAAAATTAAAATTATCGAATAATTTATCGAATAATTCTAAAACATTGAGTCAATTTCATCTTCAATAAAAGTTCCAAGGCCATTGCAAACTGAAGAGTTACAGACTTTGGTCGTTGAAACAGAAACAACCGAAAACTTCCAAATAATCATCGATACACATGGGCTTACCTTTGTTGTAAGAAAACATTTAAAAAATTTAATTTATTTGATTTTAATTCAATTAAATCTGCAATTTATTCATTAAATTAACAAATTGAAACCTCAAAAAACCATAGCAGATAACTGGTACTGGAGACAGTTGGGTTTATTTTTTTCTATATCAATATTTTTAGTTTTAAATCATTTTTATCTCTTTACTTTTATGCTCATTTCAGTTAACACATTAATTTTCAAAAGCATGATGATCTTTGCTGTTTTGTTTCTACAAATTGTCAACATTGAAAACTTGAAAACATCGGACAATGTAGAGAGTGAACTACATAAAGAGTTAAATAACTCAAAAACCACTGTACTAATGTTTAGACTCTTACACACACACCACACACACACAGACAAACAGACACAACACACACACAGACAAACACACAGACACACAGACAGACAGACTGACATGCAGGCATCCACTTATGCCGTAAGAGAACCAATATAAATATAGATTGCGATGGGCAAATAATAAGCGGGCTTCCTTTATTAGACGTCTTCTTGACATTACGACCTGCTAACAACACAACACAACAACTCTCTGAAGAAGGCGGTGTTGTTGTTGTTGTTGGTTGATGTCTTTGTGTTGTTGTTGGTTGATGTCTTTGTGTTGTTGTTGGTTGATGTCTTTGTGTTGTTGTTGGTTGATGTCTTTGTGTTGTTGTTGATTGATGTCTTTGTGTTGTTGTGATGCTGTGGTTGATGTCGGTTTTATTGCACTCGGTGTCATATCTTTGTTGACGTTGTATTAAATGAAGTTCATGTTATTGAGGTTGATGTTATTTTAGTTGCATTGTAGTTGTAGCAGCTGGTGCGATTGTTCATACTGATAAGGTTTTCGTTTTAAGAAATAATTTTGCTAAACTTATTGTGTCTTTTTTACTAAAATTGATACTAATGATTCATATGATTGTTTACATACTTTACATTGTTCAAAATCTTGCATATAAAATTTACAGTAGATTCTGATTATTTTTTTTCAAAACAATAAAGAAATAATAGCAGTTTGTATCACAATTTTTATCTTTTTGATAGTTTAATAATCTCATTCAAAGTAGCTTAAATGGTCTGTCTATATATAGGCTTTAATATCATTTTCAAAAACTCTTCTCTGACGTGTAATTCAATTGAACGATCGTGCGAAAATAATTCTGCACTCCATAAACGAAAATTAGTTGTCCACTCAAACGCCAGACATTTCGAGCTGACATTATAAGGCTTGCCTATTTGCAAACAGATGATGTGATGTTAATGTTACAAACGCTTGTTAACTCTGCTTCGAAGACTAAATTTATTATTAAGTAAGTTGTATATAATCCTTTACAATCACTGTTTATCTATTTTTGTTTGAAATTGAAAAGGTAATAAAATTTATTTAGAAGAACACACAACACAAACAATGGTCTTCTATCCAAATTACCAGTTTTTCGATAATTGTTTAAGATGAAATCAATCAATGTGTTAATAAGCGCTGGGTTTATAAAATTGAACTGACATTTAATGTGAACATGGTTGATTATTGTTTAAAATTATGCGGGCTGTATAACATCCTACCACAAAATAGCATAAAACATTGTTTCAACCACACTGAGAAAAATCTGATGTATGTGTTCTATCAAATAAATCAAGCCATCACACAGGACACGACGCAACTCGCCTATGAACTGATGAAACCTAAACATGTATAACATGTCAAACGTAGCACATTGCATTTTATTGTGAAAATGAAATAATACACAACACGGAAGAATTTACCAGTATCTACCACCGAAAACTGTCCACACGCTCACACTACACAACACACACAACATTCAAAACACACGTACATTCAACAACAGTAAACTCTCTTTTAACACACACAAACACACAAAACATACACCCACATTCAACAGAACACACTCACACACGCGCGCACAAAAAGACACACACAGACATATGAACATACATGAATGTACTCTGATGTCATCTCGATGCCACAAACAAGGCGAGAACGCTTAATGATTTGTTTAATAGAAAAGTATTAGAGATTAATATGATGTCTCTTGCAGAAATGTTGAGGTGAGCTATTATTAGCCTCCGTGTTTGTACAAGACTGCGTTGGATTGTGTCAGATGTGTGAAATTGTGTGGGATTGTGTGGGATTGTGTGGAATTGTGTGGGATTGTGTGGGATTGTGTGGAATTGTGTGGGATTGTGTGGGATGCGTGAAATTGTTAAGATTAGAAAAGATTGGACAGGATTGAGTAGAGATGTTTGTGAGTTCGTAATGTAAATTATTTATCCATGAAAAACAGGATGTTCGTATGCCATTTTAGTGAACATATTTATATTTGCGTAAACAAACACACACACCGATACAAACACACACACACACACACACACACACACCGATACACACACACACACCGACACACACACACACATTTTATATAAAAATTTGTAGTTTAGTTTTGTACATAAAATATATTAAACACTAAATACCAGAAAGAACATTGTTAATATGAAATAATTAAATATCACCCAACATATACATATGAATGTAAAATATGGAGATGGTATGGTGAAACGCGTTTCTAAACAAAGACTTTAACCGTAGACATGCATTTCGACATTCGCATAATGACGTTTTCCTAGAGGTTGTATGCATGATCTATGGATTTGTTGCTGAGGTTAGAAGCTTATAAAACGGTCATTTTGGTTGTGATTCGTTTAGATTTAAGATAGTCCCTCTTCAACAACCATTTGAGTTTGTATTAAATTTTAAAAAATATACATTAATTTTGCAAAATTGTGAGAATTTTTTGGCAAAAAGTAACATAACTAATGCGTTTAAGTTTATTTGTTTAAAAAAGTATTGGATCTAGCTGAATCGTTTAAATTAATTCATGCGGATCAGAAAAATAACTGCTCGTTGTAATTGATTTTTTTGTAAAAAATTCATAACCCAAGAAAAAATTGTTGACTTTTTATACGAAATAAAATTTACTCTTAATTACATAAATCGTTTGTATTCGCAATAAATTCATTTAGAGATTTTTTTATATGGAGATTTGAAAAATGTTTTGAGTAACTAAAATTGATAAAACTCAAAAGCGTCAATTTGTAGACGATATTGTCATCTGAATAAGTTCGAGTCGTAGAGCAGTTCTGTAGAATGAATTCAAGCGAATTTCGTCAGCGAGGCCGAGAGATGGTTGACTACATAGCAGATTACCTAGAGAACATCGAAACTAGACGGGTCCTACCCGAGGTTCAGCCGGGCTACTTGAGGGACATGGTACCAAAGGAGGCTCCCTATGATCCCGATTCGTGGGAGGAGGTCATGGAAGACGTGGAAAGGTGCATCATGCCAGGAGTGAGTCGTTGCTCTTTTTTAAGAAAGCGCGCGCAATGTTTGGTTTTCCGTTGTGTGTCAAACATTTATAATTAAATTGAAAAATTATTTGTAAATATTGATTTACAACTAATTGATTTTCAAACTTTATCAACTATCTTATTACCCAACATGGTAAAAATGCTTTTGGATGGTGCGTTTCATGGCCCAATTTGTTAATTAATAGGAACGCAGTATTTAGGTACTTACACACATGCACAATACGTACGTTCATATAAGCTAATTAGTGCGAGCGAAAAGCACATGACATTGAGTGATCAACATTTTATCTGCGCGTTGATTTAAAACTCTGCCAAAGTATAACACATCCACCTAGAACTCAAAAACAATTTAAATTATTAAAACCAAATTCATGAAAAATTACTCTACTGTAGGGATTTTCAAAAAAAAAACAAGAAAGTCTGGATACGAAAAAACGAGAAAAATTTTGATGAAATTAAAAATAGCTAGGGTGATGAAATCAAAAATAGCTAGGGCGATTAAATTAAAAATAGCTAGGGTGATGAAATTAAAAATACGTAGGGTAAATAACCTTTTATTTCAGATAACCCACTGGCAGCACCCCAGGTTCCACGCATACTTCCCGGCCGGCAACTCGTATCCTTCCATCTTGGGGGACATGCTTTCTGACAGTATCGCCTGCGTTGGCTTTTCTTGGGTCAGTTGGCTTTGTTCACCGAAATTATTTTATTATTTGATTATTATTTTATTTTTCGAGTTTTTGTGTCGGTTATTTATAATGCCGAAGTAAAAATCATTCACACTTTTTTTGTGAAAAATTACAGAGGAAAAACTTCTACAGAAGAGTTTATTGTTGATGGAATTTTTAAATTAATTCGCGTAAAATATAATGTTATTAATACTATATCGTTATAAACGGTATTTGAAAACATTTTTATAAAAACCCTTAAATTTATAACTGATTAGAATATTACACATCCACTTGATAAACTACAACAATACCAATGAAATTTCCCAAGGCCGCCAGCCCTGCCTGTACAGAATTGGAGATTCTTATGTTAGATTGGCTCGGTGAGATTGAATAAATGATTGCTTCACTGATTTTTCTCTCGACTAACTACTAAAATTATTTATATGTATATATTGTATTTTTTCATTATTAACTAATAAATATTATTTTAAAACAGACTGGCTCAGTGGAATAAATAAAATTATCACTATTTATTTTGTTCATCAGTTTATTCTTCTCCATTAAATATTTCATAAAAATATAGACAGCTTGGCAAATATATATATATATATATATATATATATATATATATATATATATATATATATATATATATATATATGTATGTATATTTATATATAATTTATTTATTTATTTATTACTAATTTTTTGAACCTTTTATTTCTAAAAACCCAAAGCCAAAATGATCAACCTGCCCCAAAAATTTCTTCATGTCAGTGGTGCTGGCGGTGGAGTTCTTCAGGTTTGGACATTTCTAACTAGTTTTAGAATTTATACAAATACGTATTTTTTAAAGTTAGGTTTAAAAGTTAATGTTCTTAGTACTTTTATTTAGAACAGTATTTGCAGCTTGTTGGTGATTTTTGGTCTTACATTGTGTTTGTTAATGTCATGTTAAATTCAAGTAATGTTGTAAAACGTTATAGAATTCATGAAAATTAACGTTAATCTAGGGATCAGCCAGCGATTGTGTCCTGGTAAGCATGCTAGTAGCTCGCAACAAAGCGTTGACGGATTTGAGTTCCTCCTTCAAAGAGCAACCAGAGGGCGTTCTCTTGTCGAAACTGGTTGCCTACTGCTCGAAACTTGTAAGTTGAATATAAAATTTTATAAAAAGTTTTTGATTTTATTTTTGTACTTGATATTGAATGAAAATTTTCACGCTATACCTGCCGGCAATTCATTCACCGAGTTGTTTATTGTTATTTCGTTTTTAAAATCAGAACTTTGAGTGTATAATTGCATTTATTGGCGGATTCAAACGTTAGAATAATACATCAGATGAGCCCGAAAACTACACAGAAAGTTTATTATCAACAACACATCATGAAATGAGACAATATAGATTATAAAAATGTTTGAAATGATTGTAAGTAACGGCAACTATTTCATTCATAAAAATTTGTTTTCGAAATACCTTAACAAAACTCTCTTTCCAAGAATTACTAAATTGATAAATACAATCTACTAAAGATAAACTTGTATCAAAATAATAACAAGAGGTTTTTAAAATTACAAATTGTTGAACTGGAAGGCTCACTCTTGCGTTGAAAAGGCAGGGATGCTGTCGTTGGTGAAGATGCGTGAGTTGGACATTGATGAAAATTACTCGCTGAGAGGTGGAACATTGGAAAAGGCTATTGAGGTTGGTTGACGGTTTTGGCAGATGTTTTTAGCTTGTGTTTGTTGATGCTATGTGATGTTAGTTGAATGATTAAAAAATTAAAAAAAAACAAACTCGATTAAAAAACAATTCAAATATTTTTGTAAACACTTTTTTCACAGCAGTTCGAAAATCTTTTAAAATAATTTTGATGAATTCATATTCAGGATGATCGAAATGAAGGACTGATTCCATTTTACGTTAGTTTATTTTCGTGGCAATTTAACAGTAAATTTGACCGCACGCAAATTTTCAAATCAACCGATAAAGATTTTTGTATTTTTAATTTAAAATTTTAAAAAATTATATTAGTTGTGTGCGACTTTAGGAACCACTGCAGTCTGCTCTTACGATAATATCAAGGAGCTTGGTAAGTAAATACATCTTTAACAGTGCTTACTCTATTAATATCTAACCTCTCACGCAATTGCAACTTTAAAAACATTTTTTCTAAATTTCTAAATTAAAATTTCTCTTTCAAATCTTCTCAAAAAACTGTTGCTAGGTGAGATATGCGAGAAACAAAAGATATGGATGCATGTAGACGCTGCTTATGCCGGCAGTGCTTTCATCTGTCCCGAGTTTAGGAACAAGATGGTTGGAATCGAGGTAGATTAGTATGATTATTTTTTTAAATCTATCTTACTAGGTTGAATTGATAATTCGGAAATAAATATTTAAGTGAATTTTATTTTATTATTTCCCAGTATGCTAGATCATTCAATATGAACCCCAACAAATGGCTTCTTGTAAACTTTGACTGTTCCGCTCTGTGGTAAGTATTACGTTGGAAGTCGAAAAATTTTTAAATATTTTTTTTTTATTTTCAATTTTTTAAATCTCAATTTAGTAATCTGTATTTGGATAGCAATTAAAAGGCAATGAATAGAGTTCAGTAGTGTAGCCAATGATTAAAAACATACAGATGTACATTCTACAAATAAATATATTCCATTTTTTAAAACAAACATTCTATATCTTTGAAATTAACTTGTAAAAATTAAATACCTCTACACATAAAACATTGAAAAATCTATATTCTTGAATTTGTAATACGCCAATTTTTATATATTTAAAATTATTAAATATTGAAAAAAGCAAAAAAAATCTGCAAAATTTATCTCCATAAGTGCTGAATAAATATAGTTTGAGTGTAATGTATGACGCAGAAGTAAGGAGAAATACCTCACGGCTGATGTTCCATACGTGGCATATCTCTTTTTTGACGGACGCGAATGTAAACCGTGTAAACAAGGAAGTCCGAATCGTACGAGTGAGATGTCGTGCATTGTAAATAGGAGTGTATAAATAGTGGATAGTAAATAATAGAGTAAATTGTAAAGAGTAAATAGTAGAGAAAATTGTAAATAGGGGAGTGTAAATAAAAGGGTGGTTATTGTAAAAAAAAGGAGTGGTTATTGTAAATAAAAGAGTGTAAATTGTAAATGGAAGAATGTAAATTGTAAATAGGGGGGTGTAAATTGTAAATAGGGGGTGTAAATTGTAAATAGTAGAGTGTAAATTGTAAATAGAAGAGTGTAAATTGTAAATAGGGGAGTGTAAATTGTAAATAGAAAAGTGTAAATTGTAAATAGGGGAGTGTAAATTGTAAATAGGGAGTCCAGAATTTTGTAAAATAACTCCTGTGGGAGAGATCATTTTAAAAATGTTTTTTACGTACAATTTTCAATTTTTTCTATCAAGGTCCGGTGGGAGAGGGTTCTCCTTCAAATCCCCTCCCTGGATACGCCACTGTTTGATTGTGTATCATGTAAATATGATATATATATGGTATAGTACATTGTAATCAGGATAGTGTTTCGTGATAATATGAAAATGTAAGTTGTCAATGTGAACGTGCGAATCAAACACAAAAAATGTTATTAAAAATGTAATTGGATGATTTTCAAAAGACAGCCGTTATTAACTTCTTAATTAATATTTGTCAAAATGTCAGTCTGTATTTTAACGATATTTAATTTAAGGAGGTTCAGGATGAAATTTCGAAGTTGAAATTTTTATGACGTCTATCAAAATTAAATCAAACCTTCAAAAATTTTAAAATAATTATTAAAATCTTATTAGAAAAGTCATTTCATAAGAAAATTTAGAACGACAACCATGAATTGTTAGGATTTAGGAGTTGGTATTTAAAAAAAATGATTGCTTTAATTGGTAAAAGTTGAAGCTTATATTTTTATTTTTTATTTTATTCTTTGTGATACTTTTTTTCAATCAAAATGGTTTAAAATGACTTGAAAAACTGATAAAAATTTTGTCAAATCGATGAATTCTATCAACCAAAGGGTTGAAGACAGGAAGGAAATGACCAATGCACTGACGGTTGACCCATTGTATCTGCAACATTCTCAATCTGGTGAGTTTCAATGATTTTTTTGGAAGATATCCTCATTTGAACTAGTTTTTACTAAATAAAAATAAATTATTTGTAAGTTTAATTGTTAAAAATTAGATCTGTATGGATAAGTTTATTACAATATGCTTCAAATTGTTATTTATGATTTTTATTGACGGTGGAGCAAATTATTTTTTTCATATGATTCTTTTTTGTTTAATAATTCTTTAAACAAATTGTATTTTATTTAGACAAAGCAGTGGATTTCAGGGTTAGCGACAAATGTTTTTAAAAATTTTTACTTTAACTAAAAAATTTTCAATCTTACAAAGCCTTAACGTAGTCATAGTTATGTTAAATAAAGTATTTATTCCACATTTTTTCATTAATTATGGATCTAATATTTATGCCCAAATCTGCTGAAACCGATTGTATGATTTTAACTTCTTTATGAAATTAAGATGCTGAAAAATTTCCATTACAAATGTTCACAACACATGCCACAAATTAAAATTACCTTCTTTAAAACCACTTTTGAACATTCCTTTCTAACCTGATTTTATCTTCTTCATGCTATAACTTTATTGTACAGAATCGTTGTGATAGAATAAATAAAAAATTTCCCAACACTATATTTGATGTAACCAACTGAGTCCAAGATTTTGTCAAGTTTTATGATTTTATTGTAATAAAAATTACTGTTCGTAAAAACACATTTTATGTTGATAACCAATTAAGATAGAAAACAAATACAAACTAGAGAATATTTGATAAAAATGATGTTATATTTCAATTTCTAGCACTGGGGCATTCCGCTCAGTCGGAGATTTCGTTCGCTGAAACTGTGGTTTGTCATTAGAAATTACGGAGTCAGTGGACTGCAAAGCTACATCAGAAATGTGTTATATTTAAATAAATTTTTTGGTTTTTATAATATTTATGTTTTAAGCCTTTTTGGTATTTTTCAGAAGTGTAAGAAGTAAGTTACACAGTGTGTGTGTGTGTGTGTGTGTGTGTGTGTGTGTGTGTGTGTGTGTGTGTGTGTGTGAACGCTTGTGGATTGATGCATCACACACTAAAGCGTAGATCTCAATTCTACACGACCACCGTGTCGATGCATTTCAAATTTCTTCAAGAATTTCTTAATGATCATCACGCACGTGTTTCAATACATCGGTATTAATTAAAAATATATTTCAACACTTCTCCACTCTCATTGTACTAAAAGTTGTTTTTCTGACAGCACTGCACGTTGGCAAAGTTGTTCGAATCCTTAGTGCTGACAGATGGCAGGTTTGAAGTTCTCGGAGAAGTTAGTTTAGGACTCGTCTGCTTCAGACTTAAGGTTTTCTCTTTATTTTCTCACTAAAACAATCTATTTTGTTGTTTCATATTGTCAATTTTAGAGAGTTGATACAAATCTGTTGGTGTATGTCTTAAGACGTTTGGCAAGCAAGCATCTCTCTGAGGCAAATTAAAATCGTATTAATAATAGAACACGCTTAACTGTATTGTAAATATTTTTTTTTGTTGAAAATGGAATTTTCAAAAAGTAGTGAAATTTTTCGTAGGGTCACAACTTTTACACCCAAATGTTAATGAGATCCATAAACCTGTCCGGCAAGCTACACATGGTACCGGCACTCATCAACGATAGCTACGTCATCAGGTTGGTTTTTTATTTAGTAATTCGTTAAACGAAATTTATGAAAAACAGTTACTAGAAGAAAGTTGATATTATATTCATTAATTATATAAATACATTTTTTTTATTAATATTTTATATTATTTATTTTATTAATGTTTATATTATTTGCTGCCAATTGCCTAGCTTTATAACATTTCTTTTTTCTTCCTGATTGGATAAGTGGTCCGTTGGGCCCTCTGGTCACGTTGTGTTGAATAAATAAATAGATTAAAAATAAAAAAAAGGTTCGCAGTGTGCCACCAAAGAGCCAAGGAGGCTGACATAAAGTACGCATGGTGTGTGGTACTGGAGATGGCAGCCATCGTACTGGAGACATGCAAGGAAAATTTCATCGAAGTGGCAAAAGTTTTTGAAAAAATTGCTTCCCTAGAGGTAAGATATCCATGATTTTTCCCAATCAATTTCAATTACATCGAGTGTAATGGGTGATTTTCATTCCATCTGATCTCGATGAATTCGTGTGTAATGGATGGTTTTTTCCTTTCCATTTAACTTCCATTATTTCGTGAGTAATTTGTAAGAATTGGAAATTTGTTGTCTCTTGTTTGAAATGTTCTTTGCATGAAATCAGATTGATGACGCTGACGAAGCCAAGGGGGATGAGAGCCAACACAGTACTAAGAAGGTTACGATTTATTTTGATTTTTTATTATTTTGAAGAAAAATATATAAATCAAATTTTGGAAATAGTTTACATAATTTATCACGTCGTAACGAAACTTTACAAAACTCTTAAAAACACTTCAAAACTTTGATCATAATTTCTCAAAGTGAAAAATTGTAAATATTTTTTCCCAGAATTCCATAAAAAAGAAAAAGTCGGATGTTAAAAGTAGTTCACAAAAATTTTCAAACGGAGACAAACCAGAATCGAACAATTGTGGGACGCAAATTAACACGAAAGACTCAGAAAAAAAATTGACTCTAGATTTTGATGGTCTCGGCAACACAAACAGCAACGAAACGTTTGAAGAGACCGACGACAACGACGATGATGAAGTCTTTCCATTTGACGACAACATCCCATCCATTCCATCTATCAGGTCTCTCCCTGAGCCAGCCGCAGCAACCGCCGACGCCACTGCAGTAAACTCGAACGCATCTTCATCCAACAAACACGGGAAACCTCTGGCGTCCTACAAGAGACGCAACATGCTTCTGAGGATGATCAGCGATCCGAAGCTATACAAACCGCAGTTGCTCAGATCCATGAGTATCGAGCGTAAGAAGAAGATGAAGGTCGAAAGCAGCTGCACTGAAGAGCTGCACTCATGCAGCGTCGAGAGTTGCGACAGTAGAGAAAGTTGTCAAGAATTCGCTACTGATTCTACTGGGCCCAACAGATTATCAAGTTCCTACAGCCAAACCAATAATAATCAAGAATTCGAGTCTAGTAAGGATAAGAAGAAAAATTAAATTCTTCATTATTTTTGTTTGTTACTAGGTATAATTTCATATTTATAAATTAGTCTCATTTTAAAATTATTTCAACAATTTTTCTGTTACCAATTTTAAGAGTGTTAACATACAGATAAGTTTCTAGTCGTAAGTAAGATAAATTGTGATATGTATTTGTACATAAGTTACCGCAAATACCAAATTACCATATCTATACGTGTGTGAATTCATTTGTGCATCTAAAGCTGTAAAACATTTATATTGAAAAATAATATTTCAAGGTCTAAAAGTCATTTTAATATTAATATGAGAAAAGATTTAACAAATTTTAGCGAAAATTCCAACGTGTTTGTGTTAATGTGTATCTCGCAAGTAGGTAAGCGAGTTCTTACACGTCACACGTAGAATTATTAGGCGTTAATTTAATTGCAATCAAACTCTTCAATGTTGTGTCGGTGTTGTGACTTTTGGAAATAATTCGCAAGTTTCAACATATTCATTGATTAAACTTGTCTCTGTTTGAATTTTTCTGATGAAATTCATAGTGTATATTAATCATTTGACTTAGTTAAGCTTACCAAATAAATTTCTCAAAATATTTTTCGCCAATCGTTGATTTTTTTTATAAAATTTATTAAATGGCATAAAATCTAGATTTCACTTCAATGAATTAGAAAATTAAGAGAGACGTAGGTAGTGCTGGTAGGATAAAAAGTTTTGAAGAAGAAGAATTGTTCCACAAGTTTTAAACAGGGTGTGGGAATCAGATGAAAAATATCTGACTCCAACACTTTTAATTTTTCTATTGAAAGAATTTTAACGTTACATTTCAGGCTTTTCAGAAATATTTTTCATTTCAGTTGGTTAGTACGTGTTTAAAGCCAATTTTCATTAGCAAAGTTCTATTAAATAAAGAAAAAATAAATTAAATGCGTTTGTTTCTTACAAAATATTAAGGTTTAGTTTATTCTTCTAGATTCAGTGGGCATTTTTAATTTTTGTAACAAGAGAAAACATATGACATGGCATTTCGACAACTCTTCGTTACTTAGCATGAAGCATAGATTTAACAACATAATAAATTAAACTCAGATTCTGATGACACAATACTTTAATGTAACAAAACTCCCAATATAAAAACATAATAAATTTAAGATTATGTTAAAATAATATTTTATTATTATATAATTTCCGAGTTAAAACCTTTTCCCTGAAAAAAAAACTATAATATTTAATAATTTATATTCGTATGTTTATAATGACAATAGCGTTAGAGTATTCAAATATAGTTTTGTAGCTATGGATTTCAGAATCAGTTTGTGTGATCATATTTTTTTCATTAATTACTGCAATCAAAACCTAATCAAATTTTACTGTTTTTGAGAGTCACAGCAGCTTTTAAAACAGATTGCAAAAATTTTGTCTCAATTATGGCAAAACTGCCTACTGATTGTCAATGAAAAGATTTTGCCAAGTTATTTGTTATTTTTCCTCATAGTTCTGATTCAAAATTTCAGAGGCCAGATTTCTAATGATATTCCAAGATTCTTCAATAAGTCTTTCGTTCATTTTTTCATAGCATATAACATATCTAGCGAAAAAAATTATTCTTAACTTGTAACATATCGATTTTATTATTAAATTGAACAGTTTAAACTGATATTGTTATATTGAGGTACTGATAGTTTTGACCTAATTTCATTAAATTTTTTTCTTTCAAAAACTCGAAATTGAAAAATCTTATAATGATTTTACACGTTGCGACAAATTATATTCAAATGGATTATAAAAAAACTTACTAAAATAAACTTTGTAAAAGTATAAAATTTCGCAAACGCAAGACTCACAAAAAAATAATCTGATTAAAAATTTAACAATAAATGACTTTAGACTGAATTTTAAGCCAACGAACCTAATGATAAAATCCTCATTTACAGCTGCCGGTACAAGATACATCTTGCCCGAGGAGTTCAGAGTGCTGAGTAGCTTCTCAGTTAGATGGTTGTTCTAATTTATTTAAAAACATTCTTTTGGCAGGTAGCAAAATCATTCAGAACAAATTTTTTTCTTCATTTAATCATTCATACAATTCTCATATTGAAAACGTATCAGATCGTTTATTTTTAATTTCTATGCCATTGTCAACAATGATTTTTGTTCTGGAGAATTATACACTTTTTCCCAACAAATAACAATTAAATGATCATACTTTTAACTTGAAGCAAACCAGTCCGAGATTAACTGTTCCAATTACTTGAAATCTCGAATCGGACAGCATTAGAGATTCAAAATACTTTGCAAGTTTGCAATGCTGCCGATGAATTAGAATTCATCATTAAATAACTAAGTTTTTTAAGTTGGAAAATTTCATAAACTATAATACCATATTTTATAATTCTCTTTTCAGCATTCTTCTAAAGTTACTACAACAGCAAACACAGGGTGCATGTAAATAAATACACGCGACTCAACGCATGACAAACATTGCATTGATAAGCCTGGAAATCTTTTCATCAGGTTCCAGTCAATACCACAGCAAGGCCAAGCACTTAGTCATTATGACAAACCTATTTAACAAAACTCATCCAAGCAAAATGAAAAGGAATGAATTAAGAGAAGAAGCAAAGCTAATTGCTTGTATACTAACATTTCTTATGTGCCTCTGCAAGCCAGAAATTCCATAGGATCTGATCACAGCCCATATTTTCAACGATCTAAACTTTCTACAAAGCGAGATGCTCCAATTCTTTTTTGAAGATAAAAAATTCTTGTCACAGCAGTATCAATTTGTTTGTGTTTTAATTAAAATAACTTTTCAAAAAATTAAAAATTATTTAACTAAATTTCAAAGTAGAGTTGAACACGAGTTAATGAGTTTTACCCACACGGAATTCGACTGTTCGATCTGCAGTAGATTTTTGCGGTTTGTCAAGTTTTATTCAAATGGATTTGAAAATATAAGTTGATAGAATCATCTTTAAGATATATCACTTCTAAATTTAAAAACAATTGTTTCACACTTAGCCAAAAATATATTGAATAGAAATAAAAATAATTCATAGTGAGCCTTTATAAATTTTATGATATATTGATATATTTCTGTACTAGTTATTGAAAACATCATTTATTTGTAATAACATTAAAAACCTGAAAGATGGTGTTGCAGATATAACGGCTCGATGGCCATTGTTTCTATCAGAACTTTCTTATCATCTATCCTTTATATACAATTATATGCTCGGTTTAATTTTAAACTTAAACATATTAACCAATGTAATCTTAAAGTTCTTTGCGTTCATTATTCTTAGAAGATTTTTTCATTCAAAGCCATTTAATCAAAACTAGAAAATGTTCTTACACGTGTTCTTAATTCAAGTTGCAGAGTGCATTGAAATCGTTAAAAAGTGATTAATATATTTACTTTAAACTGTAGACATATTTCATTTGTAGTTTTTCAAAATTTAAATTTCAAAATGGCTTATTAAATGAAAAGGATTTTACATCAGTTTCAAGAAATTAGCTTTTTTTGTTCGCTTCGGTTTTATTTGAGTTTTGGAGCAGTATTCATGCCACGAAGTCATTTAAAAACAGTCGAAATGTTTAATATTAAATTAAACAATTTAAAAAAGTTATACTGAATAAAGTGTTGGAACTTTGTGGGTAAAAAGCTTGCCAATTTTCGAAAATATGTTTCAAATTTATATGAGTATTTATGAAAACAACTTTTAAAAAGAGTGAAAATATTGAAACGTTCAGAACTGAGACAAAAACAATGAGAAAACGAACCAGATGGCAGAACTTTCAGAGTTCATCAGCATCCATTTGTGCAAATTTATGTTTAGTGAATTCACATTCTGTTGTGTATAATTTTACAGTGAAATGTTTTGTGTGTTTTTTTTTGAAAGGATTAACAAGAAATAATATGAAACATGCTTATCAGCGAATCACAAATATTGAAGGTACATCTCTTTCAGACAGCTTAAACATTAGTTTCAGACAGCTTAAACATTATACAAACGCACTGCTGAGTTTCTATTATACATTCATCAATCTACAAATCCTTTTCGAATTTGCATAAATTATGTTAATACGTTCAAATTGCGTTGTGTAGCTATCAAATATAATCTCTCAACAGCCCACTTTAATTCCGTTCATTTGTGTCCTCATCTCGGGGCATATGAATGATGAGCCGGCATATGCTGCGTCTACATGCAACCAAATCCTCCTCCTATTACACACCTCTCCTGTGTGGGTTTAAACTATCATGAATTCTTATATATAGAATTTAATTTATCGGGAATGCTTTTATATGAAGTTTAAACTACCATGAATGTAAATTATGGAGTTGAAAGTGAGAACAAAGCATTTAAAATTTTTGGAAATATTGGTAAGTTTTAATGAATTCACTTTAAAAATGTTCTAAATGGTTGAAACTAAAGTACGAAAATCAATTGGTTGAAAGGCATATTTTAAAAAATGACACCTATTTCTTGGATGTTATCAAACGAACCGACGGGAGTCGTGCCCAGAGTCGCCAACACCTGAGGTAGATGTTGTGGGTGTTGGATTTGTTGTGGTTGTTATCAACGTTACGATTTAAGAAATGAATGAAAATTGTTTGTATCTCTTTTATTATAAACTTAAAAGAAGAAAAAAGACTAACAAAAAATGGATAAAGTCCCTTGCGTTCATCATCCTGAGAATTTTTTTTATATAATTATCTTAAAAATAGTTGCAAAAAGTTGACAAAAAACACTTGTTAATAATGCTAACATAACAATAGAGTAAAACGATATAAAGTAATATTAAGGAAGCTGATGTTATTATCATTATTATTATTATTATATCATTAATAAAATTAATATTGGTGTGTTTGTGAGCGCCCTTTTTTAAAGATCTGAGAGGTGCTAACGATCATTGCAGTACATCGCGTAGAACTTTATTGAAGCCATGCAGTGTATGGAGAAGAAAAGATATTAGCACGGGTAAGTTTGGACATGAAAATGGTGTTTCTGCCTTTTACAAAATTGAATAACAGCCAGCGCAGGATCACAAAGGTCTCTAGGCAAACCATTCCAGACAGCAGGACCCATTACGGAGAAATTCCTTCGACCAAGAGCCAAGTTTGTGTCAGGTACAAACAGTAAACCTGAATTGTCAGAGCGCAATGTTTGACTCAGCAGTGGCATTGTTCTAGGAATGATTCTGTCAGTTAAATATTTAGGAGCAACTCTCTTAATACATTTGAAAACCATAAAAACATATCTTGAAAATAACTCTTAATAAACCGGAAGCCAGTAAGGAGCAAAAAGAATTGGCTTAACGTGATCATATTTAAGGCTACTTAAAACCAACTTTGCAGCCCAATTTTGAACCGACTGAAATCTTGAAGACATATTCACACCAGACAGAGTAATATAGACTTTTGCTATAGTCTATTTTTGAGTGGATAAAGGAATGAACAAGACATTGAAGAGGATGCTTGTTTAAAGATCGCCAGTACCCAGGTTGCGAGCAGATGTGTAAAATTCAATGTCAGAATCACCAAGTCTGATAGACTCAACGTTCATTTTTTCCAATTTCTGCCTAGTGCCAACCGGTAAAAACTGAGTTTTTGATTGATTCAATTTAAGCCTATCAGCAATCACCCACTCATTAATTTCCAAGAACCATGATCTGAGTCCACAGACCAGATCATCAAAACGACAGTGAAGGGCACTAGCAATGATCTAAACATCATCAGCAGGACTGTGATTGAAATTATATCTGTCAATGGTTTTAAAAACATCTGCAGTGTACAACACAAACAAGAGGGTGCCGAGAACCGACCCCTGAGGAACACCGTATGATAGTTTCAACATATGTCAAATTAGATATGAAAAGAGCTTGTTGAGTACGACCAGAAAGGTATGGCTCAATCCATTGAAGAACAAAACCAGATACTCCAAATGAATATTGGAGCTTGCGTAAAAGTAATAAGTGATCGACACAATCAACGGCAGAGCTCTGCCTTTCATATAAACAATCCGACTCAGAGACACAGATTAACTACAAGCTTTTTTGTTTCAAATGTTCAAGATATATTCCTATAAAATTTTTACTATGAGAGAGAACATAAAACTTACTTCAATCGCTGTCTCAAGTGTATGACCTCTTAGGGAATGCTTGTCGTCGAAGTCTAACCCCTTCGTTTTTATTAATAACACCATTCCAGCTTTTTCCACGCAAGAATGTGCCTTCGAATTTTGAAATTTAAAAAACTTGTCTGTTTCTTAAGGTTCATTTTTGAAAAATTTCATTTGACTTAATGTGTGTAAAATTAAAGTGAATTTAAAATTTGCGACAACTGTTAAGCACTAATTCAATGAGCAACTTCTTAAAGAAATTCATAATTAAATGATGCAGGGTTTACGTATTTAAGAAATAAATCAATTAGATAATACAAAAATGAATAAAAGATGCGGATTGTATCAAAAATAAATGCAAGAAAATCGTTATAGCGAAAGTTACGCTGCAAGTTATAGCCACCCGAGGTTCGTAATATTAGATGGTAGTTGACAACACATAGCTTGTACATTTTGAAATGTAGGATTAATTTTTAAGCAGCAAAAATAGAAGAAAAATAATACTTAAACGCCAACAAAAAAATTTTCATGGGCCTGAGTGGGATGACAAATAAAAATGAAAAAAATCTCAATGATACACGAAACAATTGTTGAATGAATTAAAAAAATTAATTTTCTTCAAGTCAAAACTAATTTGTAAAACTGATGTATACTTTCAAATTATTTTTCACTTATAAATGTTGCCTAATATAAGTTAACATGATAAAACTTATTACGGAATTTTTTTGAAATGTAATGTAAGCGTGTCTAGGCGCAACATATTGCATAGATAAAAGCATTTGGCAACATCTGCAATTGAATTTTTTCTAACAAATTTATTAAAAAAATTTCACACTAAACTAACTATAATGTATTGATATCTGTGTGTGTTTGTGCGTGTGTGCGCGCGTGTGTGTGCGTGCGTGTGTGTGTGTGCGTGCGTGCGTGTGTGTGTGGGGGGGATTGTACATATAATGGTTAAGTTTACATGGTGACTTTTGACAATGCTACGTGTGTTCGATATTTACTATGAAAGAAATATCATGGTTCATCAAATATATATTTTATATACTTTCTTAATGCCATCACGTCATTAAACATGCTCATGCTCAAAGATGCGATTAAGAAATAAAATAACTTTTTATTTGACCAACCAAACCATTTATATCAACTGGTAGACTAACTTGACAACACATAATCGATCGATTAATTAATTATCTATTTTTATATTAGTTTATAGTCCTTTATTAAAAGTTAAATTAATAAACCAAATTATGGATTTTTATCGGTCAAAATCAATTTTTAAAAAATGGCTTTACATTTTGCATGCTGAGAATAATTTTATAGAAAAAATACACATTACTAGGAAAGTAAATATCAGTATAAAGGTGATGAGTTTTACACTGCAAATAATAACGACTGATTTTATTTATTTATTTATTTAAAAAGTTTAGTCAAATTACAAAGTTAACCAACAAGTTTAGAATGATAGATCACAAGTTTGGAGAGTAGTACTGCTGCATCTTCATTCGGGTAGATGGAGCTCAGATGTTTCAGAGCGTTATGCCTGGCTGCCAGCATGCTAACGATTAAGCATTCGCCTGCAGAGTTCTAAAATGATCGTTACGAGTTACCGCAAGATAAACTTATACCAAAATAACTGTGCCATACATTTTGAAAATCTGTTAAAAAATGTTGCTAGAAGAACATAATATTTAAATACTTAACAATTAAAATAGTTTGTTTAACAGGGTGTGATATTTAGACGAGAGGAAATTAATATAACTGCCTGGCAGTGCGATCAACAACACAATTGCAATTGCTGGCTTTTTTTTACATATCCATAGAGTGACTTAATACTACTACAACTACTGCTGCTGCTGCTGCTACGGTTGCTGCCACTACTGCTGCTGCTGTTACGGTTGCTGCCACTACTGCTGCTGCTGTTTCGGTTGCTGCCACTACTGCTGCTGCTGCTACGGTTGCTGCCACTATGCTGCTGCTGATGCTAGTACTACTACACAAATAAACCACTATTTATTACGACTGCAAACAAACTTACCTGCGTTACTCCGCCTCCTGCTCCTCTGCAATGATGAAATTTTTCTGGTAGACCTAACATGTTGGCTGTTGTTTGTGTGTGTACGTGTGTGTGTGTATGTGTGTGTGTGGATGTGTGTGTGTGTGTTGCGTGCGTGTATATGTGTGTGTTTGGATGTGTGTGTGTGTGTGTGTGTGTGTGTGTGTGTGTGTGTGTGTGTGTGTGTGTGTGTGTGTGTGTACGAGTGTGTGTGTCGTTAATGGTTTATATATTTTGTATTGTACGCTCAGACGCTTCTCAAACACAATTGTTAATATTTTTCTTTTTTTTCATTATTCTCCTCATTTATTTTCTCTCTCTTTTTCTCTCTTTCTCTCTCTCTCTTTCTCTCTATTTTTATTTATATCTACCTGCATATTAACATAGATAGATAAACAAAGATACGTAAACTTTCCAATCTTCACTCACCCAGCCAATCCATGACGGCAATTTCGAGTTCAGTAGATGCAGGACATGAGGCCTAGGTTTGGAAGTTTATTTTTATGTTTACGAAATTTTGGCTACTGTCATAACAAAATTTGCTACGGATGGTCAAATGTCATTTTATATGCGTGTGCTTGGACGATAAGCTGACAATCTTTTAATATTTTTTTCTTAGTACATATGATTAAGTTCATCTAAAATCTAAATCATACAATCATCATACAAATCTAAAATTTGTATATTTTGTATCGTCGTTTTTGTATGTCTTAAAACGTATTTGTAAAATTTTTTTTTAGTTTTTATGATACGGCCCTCTCGAACGCAGAGCTTGCTTACATGTTACTCTACCATACCTGTGTTTTAACTTTCGTGCTACAAAGTCTCTATACCATCTACACCACATGAATGGTTTAGATTGTATCCAGTATTCAGTTTTGAGTTTTTGGACAGACAGTATTCGAACCACGCCCTCGCGTAGTAGCATCGCGAGAAATGGCACTTCTACCGAGTGAGCTAACTCGGTGACCATTTTTTTTTATCTGACCATTTATTAGTCTTAATTTTATATTTGATATTCCCATTAGCATAAATTATATTAGGATTTATGAAATGATTTGAAGTTTTCTAACCCATGAAAAACCAGCAGAACTTAATGCATCGACCAAAAAGTCAGCCAGAATGGAAGGGTAAGATTGTGTCCATGGGTAGAAGGCGTGGAAATGAGGATGTTGCCAGTGAGTTACCTGTTGTTTGAATGCAAGTTTTGTTGAATAGATATGCTATTTTGGAATGGGCAAACTTTGATAATGAATTGATTACAGTAAGATTTAGACAAAATTATTATGAAAAGATTTTTTAAATATTTACCGAAAATCACTAAAAAGTAATTTTTCGTTTCCGAAAAAGAAAATTTGAAAATACATGTTCACACCTTTGTTTTTAAAAGTAGATAAGTGGATAAAATCAAAATTAAAAAATCATTCGTTGTAATAATATCTTAACTAGGCGTTGCTGTGAATGTTTTTTTAATTTATAAAATCAGAATATGAAAAACGCAGCAACTGTTACAATATGCAAGGCAATAGTTTAAAAAAAAGTAAACCAGTTTCAACCAACTCCGGGCAAGATGGCCTTATCAATGTCTTTCATTATGTTATCCCATGAATCCGGACACTGAGGCGGTTCACTTGGCACCAGTTCCTTCAAATATCCGGGTTGGACATCTGGGAAGACCCGTCTCTGTTCAATGTTTTCAAAGTAGTCTGCAATATAATCCACCATTTCTCGACCTCTCTGGCGAAATTCCTTTGAATCCATATTTCAAAAAACTTTATTCAAAATATTTTCTTACTACACTGAGTTGAATTTATTTCAATTATTTAAAGATCTGTCAAAAATTGTATTAAATTTAGTGTAGTCTTTTCTGAGCTAATACATGCTACTGAAAGCTTCACTCAATGACAAATTTAAAAATTATTATCATAAAAAATTTTCTTAAAATTTCTTTCTCATATAGTATTTGATCATCTCATAAATTATTCAAAAATGAAAATGAAGCGACAACAAGTTTATTCTCTCTCTCTCTCTTTCTCTCTGTCTGTCTTTCTTTTTATCTCCTCCTTATTTTCTTTATGTATTCATCGTTGTTTCTATGTATGCGTCTATTTATCATGTATAATTTATACAGTTCATATATTGACAAAACTATCACTAAAATTTTTTCGATATATTATAACTGTACGAACTACAAAATAGACACATAAATCTTCATTATACCATTTTGATAATACTACGGCATACAATATTTAAACACATTTGTATCATTTAAGTACCGGTTATTACATTTTATACCAGAATAGGTTTATGACACTGAACAATTTTTCTTTAAAATTTAAAAATTTTACTTCGTTAAGCTAAACTTATTATTCTTTTCAATAATTCTTTAGAACAAAACAACGGAATGATGGGTCTTGATGAATTTAATCACTAAACCTAAAGAAATTGTTTAACTTTATTCAGGATTTATATATTTTTGAAAAGATAAAATTAACGAAAATTTGTAAAAAATTAAATTTATCAATAGATGTTCATTGGTTTTATAAGGATTATTTTATGCTAGGCTAAAATGAAAAAAAAATAAAAAGTCATTTTAAATTCTATTTAAAAATAATAAATTTGAATTCCAAATTTAAAAAAAAGGGCAAAATTAATTCTGTTGGCATATTCAAAAACATTTATTTTATTTTTTTGTCATTCCAAGTTTGAATGTTCGTAATCAAATGACAGTTGGCATTGCCTACGTTTTCTGGAGAAATTTGTTAACAAATAAAATTGCGATCTAGTAACTACATTTCAATCGAGGTATTGTGAAAAAGTTCAATTTAGTGAAATTTATGATTGAAATGATTCCAAATAATGTTCATGAGATACTTGAAGATGACCTTGTTCACTTGTCTGTCATCATCTCGCCATTGCAGTAATGTCCGTGGTCATTTCTGTTTGGAATCGTTGGGTTGATCGTTTAAAATGAAAATGTTAAGTTTTGTTCTGTAAAATTACTTTCAAATCACTGATCAAACTTTATAAAAATCAGTAAAAAAAATTTTAAATATTGTTTTGAGGTTTCTTACTCAGTGTCGTTAAGGATTTTCGTTGCCGTGTCTCTGATAATTTCCCAAGACTTCCTAATGTGGTCTTCATTTATCTTTTGGAAACATACGGCAAACCTTTTGGAGATTAATTAAATTGTTTAAATCAGCGGCGGGCAAGCTTTTTGCTGTGAGGGCCGCATTGAGGGGATTACCTTTAAGGGGCCGCATTTGTAATGTACTTAAATAGCAAATTTTTTAGACCCGGGGGAAACTTTTTTTAAGATTTGTGGCTTCTTTGTTTTAATGTCTGGCTGACAACACTTTTTGGCGAAAAAAGCTTGAAAACTACGGCCACCCTTGGTTTAGATTCATTTTTACTTAAAATGATTTCACAATTTTATCAATAAGTGGCTCAATGGCGTAATGGTTAAGATGCTTGTAACTGTTGTAGCAGTGATCGGTTTCAAATACACAGGCAACATATGCGTGATACGTTGTTGATTCCTGTGTGCTTGTTGTTTGTTGTTGTTATTGTTGATTGCACTTCTCGAAAATAATAAAATGAGAGTTTTGAGAGAAATGAACCGACCTGATGATGTAGTCGTCATTAACAGCTGCAGGAACCAGATGCATCTTGCCTGATGAATTCAAGGAACTGAGCAACTTCTCAGTCAGCTGATTGTCCTAGTGAGAATTTTACAAAAAATTGTTGAAATGATCGGCAACAAATTTAAAAGTTTCTGGCAAATAGTTGGATTAAGCTATTATTAATTTAAAACACACATTCAAATATTAGTCGGTCTGTTTTTAATCTTAAAAAGCAAAACAAGCACTGTGTAAATTATCGTTAGTTTATTTTAACGAATTAATGAAAAAATCAGAAAAAAGATTTTTCAATTTTTTCAATTCTTGAATCGAAGTTTGAACTTACTCGCAGCTTGAAGCAGACAAGGCCAAGGGTTACCTGTCCAACTATTTGAAATCTGGCGTCTGTCAACATTAGAGTCTCAAAATATTTTGCCATCTTGCAGTGCTGCAAAGGTTTTTGAATTATAATCCAGTTAAATGTTTGTGTTTGTTTAAAATATATTAGTACAATACTTGTCAAGAATGTTGAAAATATGAAAACTTTTAGAATAATTGATTTTAAAAGTTAACAAATTTGAAATGAATTATACAATAAATGTTTGTTTGACATTTTTACTTAATCCCAATTAATATTATGATTACATAAAATAATTTAAACTATTTTAGTAAAATTTATTATTTAAAATTCGCTTTTTGCTCCATTTTTCAGAGATATCAAGACTAGGTGCGTCAAAGCATCATCTATAGTGCACATGGCAGACGAGGATCTCGTTTGCATTTGAACTAAGACACTGCAACAGCAGTTTCAGGCGCCTTAACCATTACACTGTTGCGCCACCCATAACTTCTAAATCATACCACCAAAAAAAAACTAGAAATTCATAATTAAATTGTTAAAAAAGAACACTTTAAACAGGTCGACTCACATTTTTTATGTGATTTTGCAGTCCAGTAACTCCATAGGATCTGAGAACTGCCCACATCTTCAAAGATCTGAACCTGCGGCCCAACGTTACGCTCCAGTGCTTAGTTTTATGTTGAGAGAAACCCATTCATACATGTCCATTTGTGGCAATTTTCAAGTTTTCAAACGTCAAAATGTCACATGCAGTTTAACATATATACAAATATGTTACCAACATTTATAAGTTGAATTATTTTTTTTTTATTTTTCAAAAAATGCCAATCTATCAGATGTATAATATTTTTATTTTTTAGGTTTGAAGATTTTTGAAGTAATTTATAATCCCACTTATGGGTTAATTCATTTAATTCTCGTTTTACAAAATTTTATCAAATTATTTGTAGTAAAAACTCACCCGAAAATCTTCAGTTTTATCTGAAAGGAATAATTTTTGGTAAGACTTAGTTATTAAAAGAACTCAAATTTGCAACAAACTTATACAAAAATTGAAATATACCCAACTATTAAGTGAACGCATCTGAAAAGCAACACATAATATGAAAGTTGAATGTTTAAATTTTAAAAACACTTTTTCGTATAAAACAGATTTGACCCACAAAATCCCAATTTATAATATGGATATGACAAAAAACTGGATTTGTCTCCTAATCCAGGTAAATATCAACGGTAGGCCTACTACAAATCAGAGTCGTAGGCTAGGGGCCTAGGCTAGTGGAGGCCCACCTTAGGGCTGAACCTCCCCCACAGATGAAAATTTATTTAAAGTTAAAGATATGTGTAACAAAGTTTCTACATAAATGGAAGACTGCTAAAAGTATTAACAACACCTGAATGATTATGTTGAAGGTATAATGGATCGACTGTCATGGCGTCTATTAGGGCTTCTTTGTCGTCAATCCTTTATAAGTTTCCGAGAGTAAAAGTACAATTTTTGAAGTTAAAACTGAATAAAATAAATATTCATTTTTGTTATAATTATGATAATTACTCTCTATTTTTTTACAAATTTGTTAAAATTGCTTGATATTTAAATAAAATTATCAAAATTTGGATTAGGTTATTGTGTATGTTTACAATAGCACCAAATACGATAGTTATTCTCTAGGTATCTAGTTTTGAAATAAAATATTGAAACGTAAAAAAACCAACCAGAGGGCAGAACACTCGGCGTTCATCAACATCCACTTCTGTGGATTCAAGTCAAACGACTGAACGTTCTATAGTAAGAATAAATAAGTGTTTGTCGTTTGAATAGCAAGTGGCGAATCAACATCTTTGGAATTTAAATAGCTACTATTTCATTTTTTTCTGGTAGAAAACAACCAAAATTGACACATATAAGCAAACATACATACATACATTCATACATACATACATATCTACACACACACGAACCTCTATTCCTTCCATGTATACTCTAAACTCGGGACACACAAAGGCTGAACCAGCATAAGCTGCGTCAACATGTAGCCATATCTTCTCCCTGCTACAAACTTCGCCTGATTGTTTATTTTGTATTGTATTGTATATTTTGTTTAGGTTTTTTTATTGTATGTTTTTGTATTGTATATTTTTGTATTGTATGTTTTTGCATTTTGTATTTGATGCATTATATGTTTTTTGTATTTTGTCTTATAAATCCATAAATGCTCAAATTTTAAACCTATTTCCTTAATGTTGTCAAATGATACAACTGATGTTGTACCCAGAGTTGCAAAAACCTGTTGGGATTTTACAGAGATAAAATACATATACACACATGTATAGATATATTTTATTCATTCGTTTGTTTGTTCGTTCGTTCATTCATTCGTCCGTTCACTCGTTCATTCATTTATCTATTTATCTATCTATCATCTATCCATCCATTCATTCATCTTGTCAACTCAATTATATGAGATAATTTGACATGTAACAGTTCAAAACATAATCTAATCACACTCAAACGCCGAAACATTAAATCTCTTATTGACAAATTTCTTTCTGATTTTTTTACAAATCATAAAACAAAACTTACATAGAACGGTACTAATCCGTTCCTCTTATCTTCCTGTTAATAATTAGTTAAATTTATTTAAATTTTAAAAATTTAAAAATTATTAAAATAAAAATTCATATTACAATTAAGATGATTAAACTAAAATAGATAATGATATCTAATTTAAACTAAAAATTAATGAGGTTATTGCGCATTTATCAAGCCTTTCATCAAAATTACATTCTTTTTTAAATTAAACGATTTTTCTTTAATTAAATACAATTTATATTTATTTGAAATCGAATAAAAAATTGAATTTTAAACCATACTTAAATTAGTAAATAAAAAATTATAAAATTAGGACAAAAATTTTCTCTAAAAAACTTCTGGCTAATGTCAGTAGCTGACTGGTATAATTGTCCCATGACATTAAACCGACGTTAAAAAAAGGCTGTTCAATAATTTCATATTGTTTTTAACTATGATAATAATAAAGTGACTAAAGGTTATCTATCCTACACAAAGAGTTAAAGTAATTTGCTTGAATGAACTTTTAATTTGATTTTGAGCGTCGGCACAGTTGCCAACCGTCACAATTGGGCAGGGGGCAGTCCCGAATATCACCCCTCTCCACCCTATGTCTCGCTTCAATGTCCGCGAGACGCTTGCTTGTCCCACTTTTAGGCAACCGTAATAAATTTTGAAATATTGAAATAGCAGTTTAATAATAAATTTGAAAATTTGAAGGGGCAAAATCCTAGAACAGTACATGCAACCAGAGATGAATGAATGAGTGTCAATGATTAAAAAGCGAAATAATTTTCTTGAATTAAATTCACTGATAATAAACTGATTTATTAGTGAATAAAAATACCTAAGATGATATGATGAAACAGTGATTGTATAACAAAACGAATAATCGTTTGAAATGAAATACTTGAAATATCGCGGTATCAATTAAAAATCACCAAATTGTAAATAAGTTAGAAAGAATAAAATTGAAATCTGAAATAATCCGATGAAACAATATTTAAATATTAAAACCGAATAACCGTTGAAAATGAAAATAGTTAAATTTTTTGATAATATTATCAAATAAAAATCACAAAATTGTAAAAAGTCAGAAGGCATGGGACGAAACCTGAATTGCCTTTTCCAATGTGTTACCTCGCAATGAAAACTTTTCATCTACATCCAACTCTCTCATTTTGACCAATGACAACATCCCAGTTTTTTCCGCACAAGAATGAGCCTTTTAGGACATTTTTTCAAATTATATTTTTGCAGGTTTAGGTCTCAAATGGAGGAAAACATGCTCTAGATTATTATTTCTTAGACATATCAAAACTTTTCCTATTACTAATTATCAATATGGGATCCATCTGTATATAAGAAGAATGAAACGTAAATTATTTTTTAAATGTTTGACTTTTCTAATTGTTATAAAAATACATTAGGTTTGCCATCAAATAAATCATTCCCACACAATAGGCGCAATTTGTTGGCAATGAGTAATTCTATGATGGGGAAAGGATGGAGTTCCAAGTTTTTTTCGCAAGCATGCTTCAAAATTACTAAAAATTGAATCTTAGCAAGTGAGATCGGAAAATTTTATATCAATTTCTATATTTTTAAGATTTAAGCAAATGTACTTTAATTGAATTTTATAATTTTCCAAAAAATAGTTGTTTTAATAAATTTTATTAGATTGAAAAAAAATTAGATTGAAAATATTAGATGAGTGTCACGCCTCCAATGTGATAGTTTAACAACGGCAAGCCATTTACCAAGATTCAATCAATCAAATACATTCAATTAATGATATTAAACTGATGAATCTTATTTAATTCTGGCAAAATTCTATAAAACAATATGTTCCGTTAAGTGTGCGCTATTAAATTTGAGAAGATATCATCCTAGCTTAGTTTCTGTACGTACGTGAAGCAGCTTATTTATTCATGAAGAGACTCACATATTTAACAGTAAAATTTAGCCGAACGAATTATTATAAATAGAAAATGTTCATTAAAAAACACTCAGCTAACGTATTTTGAGCGGTAGGCCACCAGCTTATCTAGCAAAACTCCTGGTTCAAGATTTTGGTGAAGGTGAGATAGATTCTTGAGGGCTTTGTGCCTGGCGACCAGCATGCTGATGAGAATGCACTCGCTTGCTGTACTCTATCACATTATTTCAGATTCAATGATCAGTTTGATAACTTGTTAGATAAATTTCCAAATTTAAAAACGCACTTTTAAAAAACATATTATTCGTCGAGTTAGCTCAGTTGGTAAAAAAACTATATTTCAAGTTGTCACATTGCGCGGTGACCTAGTTCGAATACTGTCGAAATCTCGGAGACTATCATACGTCAGGCGCACCTAATGCGGTGCATACGTCCGCCTCCAATGCCTCCTAACACAACTGTGTGGTACGAAATTTCTACTATAGTTATGAAATATTATGTTTGAACAGTTCTGCGAATCTCAAGGTAAAGTAATTAAAAACAAATTCAGTCAAACAGTTCGTCTTTGAATTAAATTTTTTAAGAAAAACCTGAGTCACTCCTCCACCGACACCGTTTGAGTGGAGGAACTTCTTAGGAAGTGCAATCATGTTGGCTGGAAAGTGTTTTAACAATCAAGGTGTTGGAACGTGACAGTTCTAACAAACAAATCAGATTTGTATAATGCATTAAGGCCTGTGCTGTACAATGTCCTACGCGTATTCATTGCCAACATGTTTTAGTTATCGCAATGAAGGGATTAATTCATGAACTATGAAAAAACTACTTGACGAATACCATTTTTTAATTTTCAACTGACAATTCTTGGTTTTAAAAACATTTTGACATCTTTTAAAAAAACTTGAAGTTTAAAAAATTTGTTGGCCTTTGTTCTATATTGTAGGCTTCTTTATTCAAAAACTTGAAGCTGTCTACAATATGAATAAACTTAGAATTAAATGATATTTTAAAAATTTGTTAACATCTTTTTAACATTTATTGTATTTTTTAATATAATTACGCCGTTAATTTTATACAAAATCGACTTTGTGTTCTAAACTAGAAGGGTTTTGTTTTGATTTACGGCATTCATCTTTCTTTCTTCTCTCTCGTGCCTTATCCTTTCAGGACATTGGCGAAACTCGATCTTTAACACTTTGTTATAGTTGAAATGTGGTGATATTCAACAAGTGACACAAGGACTTCACGAATGTTATTCGTTGTTGACCGCGATCTCCTTTCCCTGCAATCTTTCCAGTAGTTGTTAGATTTTCCATTCTTTCCTTCCGAAAAAACTTTACAAAACCAAAAAACTTTAACTGCCTCCGTCGGATTATCGGTAGTAATTTCCTTTTTTTCATAACCGGTCTGTTTTAACTGATTTACGGCCACATTTTGTAAAGGGCATATTTTAGAAAACCGTTTTAATTTTTATTACATACTTTCACGACAATTTTTTATGATTATTAGCTATTATCAGTGTTTGAAAATGTATAGATCGGGGCAATCAAAACGAAGGGTTAGAGTTTTCCAGTTTAAAAACATGAAAACAAAATGATGAAACGATAACCGAAAAGATGAAAAAAATGACTGGGATAAGACTTTTAGGGATTTGAAGTTCAAATAGATCGAACATTTCACAAAAGATGTTTTAAAATTAAAAATTCTTGTTAATTGAAATAAATCTTTAATAAATATAGTCACTCCAACCTATCCAGTCCATGACAATGACCTCAAGTTCTGTAGAAGCTGGACAGGATGCCTGTTTGGGGAGAAAAAATCTTTGATGGTCAGTTGGTAAGAAAAATATTTCGACAAGGTGTGTAAAACTTGAAATGGTAATCGTTTTAACTTCATCAATAAAAGTACATCTAATGTTTCTTTTGATAAAAATCTTTAAATTTTCAAGTGTTAAATTGGTTAATTTTTGTAATAGTTAGATCTGATCAACATACCAGTGCTACAGTTTCAATTTATATCTATCATTTTTACACCTACACCAACCACAATGAAACATTGCATTATTCATCTGCGCTTATCCATGTACAATCGCACGTGAGTGACATATCAAAAGATATCTCTAAAAAATTTGTTCAAGTAAGTCAGTAAATGCTTTTATCAGATGATATTTTTGTTAATGAACTATTTATAAAATGTTGAAAAATTAAAAATTTAATTTGTATCTTAGGGGAAAATATTTGAAAACATCTTTCTGACCCATGAGAAACAAACTGCTCCAAACGCGTCAACCAGGAACTCAGCTAGCATCGAGGGGTAGGAGTTGTTGCTGGGAAAGTAGGCGTGAAAATGTGGATGCTGCCAGTTTGTGATCTGGTTTAAAAAGAAATTCATTTTCAAATGCATCAATTTTATTATTTCTTGCTTTTTCGGCGTTATCCCAAATTGGAAACGTCTTGTTATAACCGCCGGAATGATCAATCAAATAGCGTTATATTATTTGTTATCATAAACATTGTTATCTTTGCTATATTTGTAATTTTTGAATAGAAGATCGAATTAGAGACGTATGTATCATTCTAAGTAACTTGAAAAAATGAAATACAAATTATCTATCACAGCAAATTCCGTGGCAACATTTTGAGATGTTTTCGACGGCTTTATTAAACACCTTAAAGGCAAAATGATATGCGGGGACAACTTCTGACACAGTGCATTCCACAAAAACGCAGAACCAAGCAGTATATTAATCAAATAAATTATTAAGCAGATAAAATAGATGAAAATATGATAAAATTATTTAAAAAAAATTATGGATTAATAAAAAACTATTTACAATAAAGTAAATCACAAACCCCGGGTAAGATACATCTAGTGATATCATTCATGATGTTATCCCATGAATCAGGATGCTGAGGCGGTTCACTTGGCACCAGTTCCTTCAAGTATCCTGGTTGAACATCTGGGAAGACCCGTCTCTGTTCAATGTTCTCAAAGTAGTCTGCGATGTAGTCCACCATCTCTCGGCCTCTCCGGCGAAATTCTTTTGAATCCATTTTGGTGGATTACGTTGATTAGAACCAATATATTTGCTTGTGAGTCTCTTGATTTGAAATTTTTAGTTTTTATACACCAACTCACGTTCATATTTATTCATATCTATCATTTCTCGTTCATACTTAACATGTATCTGAAGAATTATATAAATTTATAAAGTTAGAATTTATATATATATATATATATATATATATATATATATATATTTCGGAACGAGGTTTTCTTTAATACAAACATCATTGAAGATATATGCCCATTTTGCATTAATGACTTTCTTTAATGAACACTCAACAAGTCTGAATTTGTTAAACTCGTATTTATTTAAAACAATAGACATGGTAAGGCTAACAGCGCTGTTTCGGGAAGTCCATCTTCAGAGCCTATGAAAATAAGAATAGCATGAAATATTTTTATAAAATTAGAATGCATATTAAATGTGTAATAAAATTATTAAGAAAATAACGAGAAACCTTTGTTAGTGAAAACAAAGCAAAACATGTACAAATTAAATTTTATAATTAAATAAAACAAGTAATTGTAATGTATCACAGCTAATATGGATGTTAAGATGCACTGTCGAATAACGAAACCAGCGATACGGAAACATTAGTCCTATGACGAGTGGTAACATGTTCACCATTAAACAGTATCGCTTCTTTTGGCATTGGCTCGTATTCGAAGTGGCGCAACATTGGTGGTTCTATGATATTGGTATGAACGGCACGTTGTGGACTATCATGTCTATACTGGGAGTAAAGATGTAGGCTATGATCAAATGTGTTAAATTGTTTATTCATAGCGGGTTTATTCTTGTAGATGTATAAAGCTTCTTTAATTTTGAGGCGAACTGGGTGCGATTCACGTTCAAGTATTTTCGTGTTAACATCAAGTAATGCTCTGGTTAGTGGCAAACCGTGAGATTTGAGCATATGATCTTTAATGGCACCGTTCTGTACGTGCATCGTAAGCCTTCTGGCCAGAGTAGTACGCGTATGCCCAACATAATTTTCCACAACACTGTGTGGCATAGGACAATTGAAGCTGTACACCACGCTACTCTGTTCCAAAATACTTGTAGAATGTCTATTACTATTTTTTATTATTAAGTTAGAAGTCCGGTTAGTTTTATAATATATGATGAGTTTAAGTTTATGTTCACCATTACACATGGAGATATTAGATTTTACATTATTTTATTTTTATTTTATTTTATTTTTTCATTTTATTTCATTTATTTTATCTTATTCCATTATATTTTTTCATAAATAGTCTATATTCCATTTTAATCTAATTTAGTTGTTTCATTTACGGATTCGTTTATTAAAATTTCTTATATATCATTATAAACTTAATAATTAATTTTGACAATTTTCCATATTCTTTCCACACATGTCTTCTTTTCACATTCAACTAACTTATTTACGTTTTATTTACATCATCCGATTTTAACAAATTTTCACTGAACTAAATTTCAGTATTAATTTATTTGTTTTAATATTTAATTTAATACTATTTTACTAACTTTTTATATACATTTGTATTTTTAACCATAAATTTAATTTGTACATGTTTTGCATTGTTTTCACTAACAAAGGTTTCTCGTTATTTTCTTAATAATTTTATTACACATTTAATATGCATTCTAATTTTATAAAAATATTTCATGCTATTCTTATTTTCATAGGCTCTGAAGATGGACTTCCCGAAACAGCGCTGTTAGCCTTACCATGTCTATTGTTTTAAATAAATACGAGTTTAACAAATTCAGACTTGTTGAGTGTTATATATATATATATATATATATATATATAATATATGTCATATATTTCTGCATGTGCATATATATATATATTTATTTTCATTTACTTCATAGAAATATCTGAATTCTTTTTGCTTACTATACGACGATGCTTTATTTCAAAATTTGTATAGCATTTAGACCAGGGGTGGTCAAGCTACGGCCCGCGAAGCTATTTTATGCGGCCCGCGAGGTCATGTTTGCAACAAGAAGGTCGTGAGCAAGATAATATGACAAAAAAAGGAGCCACAAATCTTAAAAAAATAATTCTCCCCGGGTTGAAAAAATTTGTTATATGAGGCCCTTCAAAAGGTAAAATAGTTCTCAATGCGGCCCTCAGAGCAAAAAGTTTGCCCACCCCTGATTTAGAGGGTTCCTGATGTCATAGAATGGAGAAGTTAGGCTTTATTTTTTTGTTTATCTGTCAAATTTTTCTGTTTTATGTTTGTAAATGAATATGAAAAGCATATCTTGGATTTATATTAAATGATTTTACATGTATATATGCTATAAACTCTTTGTTAGTAAGTTTCGTAGGCGCGGTTGAAATAGGGAAGCTTTGAAAATAACTTATAAAAAAATTCTTTTGACAATTTTTGGAAAATCTTTTTATTATTTTAGTTATTCTAGTTTTGTTAGAGTGAATATTTTATTTCAAATTGTTATAAAGATGTACATTATCATGTTTTTTATGAACAATGTAATCAAAAACTTTTTGAAATAATAAGGTGAAAGATTAAAATAGATGAAAGGGTTTTTTTTAGCTTTTAAACTTGCACACGATATTTAATTGGCTGAAGTTATGAATGAATAATTCATTTAAATAAGTAATTTATTAAAAAGTTATAAACTATTTTGCTTGGCTGAGTTAAATATTTAAATAGCTTAAATATCTAACTAGTTAAAAACAATTTTTTTAGATTTTTTTCAACTCGTCATTCAAACTTCAACAATAGGTGATTTTTTTGTTGTGATGACATGATGACGACAAAGAACAAAGTATCAAATTGTTTTGTTCAGCGCTATTTATTACATCAAGAATATCAAAAATTCACTTTTGCTGAATTTTTAAAATGTCTCCAAATTTGTGATTTGATTAGGCGTATTTCTGGTAAATTTTAACTTATCTCATCGTGGGATTTATCATAGAAATTAGCTTTTAATCTTCAAGTACACAGTTGACGTTTTTACATAGATTTAAAAAATTTATGTTTGAAACTTTGTTTTTCTATCTTTAGAGAATTTTCACGTTATGTTCCATCTCTCACGTTTCTTTATATGCACTTAAATTATTTGAAAAAGAAGTTTCGAAATTTTTTATTAGTGTAGAATTTCATTAAACAAGCATCGCTTGAAAGCAATTGATTGTGAAATTTATTCAAAATTTCAGACTCCGACCTCAAAACACAACCGTCTCATTAATTCAATTTGTATTTTAGTTTCAAAATGTACAAAGTAACTACTTAATCAGTCAGAGATATTACTTACATTTTTGTAGAAGCATGAAACTCAGGCTAGCTTTCTGTGCATACTTTGTCATTTTAATTGTATTTTACAACAATCAAACTAAAAAAGTCGGAAAATCTACAAAGAAGTAACTTGTAACTTTATTTTTACTGAAAAAAATTACGTTAGTGTTACCTTGATGTCTTAATCATTTTTTGGGGAGGCCATGGTGTTATAACCCCGTCAGCCCTAACGTAAATTTTACCCTTTCCTATGTATATGCAATGTATATTATATGCGTACGTGTGTGTATAATGTGTAAGTGCATTAGTTCGTTGCCATGTCTTTATAAATTATTAACTTAATTGATGACAACCTTTGATGACAGTGCGTGTGCTGCTGCTAATGGTTTTTATAATTTACATATCTTAAAATACTTATTTTAGCAAATTTATATTTTTAATATAATTATTAAATTCAAAATTATTCATATATTTTATTATTACTATTAATCATTTTAATAATCATTAGTCATTGTTTTTATTTATTTATTTATTCGAAATTTTTGATTTGAAAATTTGAACATGAAGCATTTAAACCAGAAACCACATCATTATTAATAGTCAACTCTTCGTCATGCAAAATTGTTAGAATTGAATTGAATGGTCAACTTATATAATTACGTAAAATAATAACCATAATATGATATGATAAAAGTGATAAATTACTGTCGCAAGTTAACAACATGTGACAAAATTTGTATTCAAAATAATGATAATTTGATAATTAAACGATAACTCGTTTCAAAACTCCAAACCTAATTATATTGCAGGTGTATAAAAAATAATAATATAAAACAAAACAAGTTTGGTTTTCTCATAGTTTGTTAAAAATCATTCATTTTTATTATTTCGTAGTCTTAGTAAACAAAAACTTGAATGTTTCAATCAAAGTTTGAAGTCTAAAAGAGGTTAGTAAGACTGAATGTTTTTTGTCAAAAAGAAAATTAATCATTGCATTTGTGGTTTGGTTAATGTTGTTGACTAACATAAACAAATTTTCTCATACTAAACTCTGTTAAGTATATTTACAATCTTCAATACTAGCTCCATTACTCTTTTTAATACATTATTTACATGAGTAAATTGCAAAGTTTTTTAATATCTGTTAGCATTTAACATTTTTGTACTGATAATATCCCGGGTTAAAATCAAAACAAGTTTTGTACCGCTAAAAATTTATCATTTTTCATTTAAAAATGCGACGTTGCTGATCCCTGACATCCTCTCACCGTCTTGTTTTCCATTTTTTCCGATACTTTTCCCACTGTTTGAATCAAAATTAGCATTGTCGAGGGTAGAGTTGGTTCTATTTCCATTGGTCATGTTATCATTGCACGCGTTACTACTGGTACTATCTGTGAAGTTGTTTACGGTACTAGAGTTACTAATGTTGTCAGAAGTAGTGTTCATCTGGATTGAGTTAGTATCAGTGACGTTGTTGTGATTGTTGCTGTCGTTGGCTTCTTGAAGCTCTTGAAGTAGCTGCGGGTCCATGCAACGGTCATCTTTGTAGGTTTCATAAGGCGGAAGTTCTGACAATGGCGGATGGGTGTTTGAATCTGTATTTCTTCCAATTTCGGAGTTGTTGGTTGAGGGGCCTGGTGGCACTGTGAACATTATGTTAAAATTTATGGTCTTTAATTATGGTTGGTTATAATGGTTAGCACACAAATGAACAAACAAACAAACGAACAGGCGAACAAACAAACAAACCAGGAATAATTCGGACACTGCCCTCTCTTTCTCCACTACCTTCCTCTTCCATCTTATCCACGGCACTGGTGAAGTGGGCGTAGTAATAGGATGGTGGGGGCTCGTTGTAGGGATTGACGGAGCCGGGTTGTGCCTGGGGTGGGGGGTAGTGGAATAGAGGATTTGTGTGGGAGGTCGTCTGGTCCAGGAAGGATTGGGGTAAGGGAGGGGTTGACGTTGAGTTGCGTCTCTGTTTTTTAGAAATTTGAAAGTTATATCTTCAATTTGGATGTCACTGCAGTTATTTGTGTGAAGGTATAATATTTCAAAATACAATAACCAATCTTTAAAATTATTTTCTAGAGTTAAGTTTGTTAAAAATTAAATTAAAAAAAAGAATTGAAAAATTCTAACACTTCTCTTGCCAAGAATGAGCTTAACCATGCAGGCACACACCACAGTCAGCATGACACCCAAGGAAATGACGATACTTGTTGTCAGAATCACCGAACCAAAAGTAGCTAGACACCGTATCATAAACATAAATATGCTATCATCGACAATGTTCTTCGAATTCTATGGTTACATTATTTTTTAATTTGTAGCGCTTATATATTTTAAAGTGAATCAATTGATTACAATTTGGCTTCCAGACACCTTTGATGAAAGAATTTGGATCATTTGGTGTAATAATATCACATCCACGGTTGAACTTTTATTAATAATTTAGTTGCATATTGTAAAAAAAAGTAAACTTATTTTATTCCCATGTAATATTACATTGTTAATTAATAACCATGAAAATTTAAGTAACGAAATACATAAAATATAATAAAAAACTTTTTAAAATCTTAAATTGAAATTATTAAGAAATACATAAAATATAATAAAAAACTTTTTAAAATCTTAAATTGAAATTATCAAGAAATACATAAAATATAATAAAAAACTTTTTAAAATCTTAAATTGAAATTATCAAGAATTATTATTAAATTATAATCTTTAAAAACATTTTCGGTAATGTTATTATAAATGGAAACTAACAAATGGTTGAGCAATATCTTTCGTCAGAGTAGTCTCCACAGTTATCAATGCCGTCGCATCTCAAATCCTCTGGAATGCACCGGTCGCCGTACCAACATTGGAATTCATCCGAAAGACACTCCCCTGGTAGGTTTAAAACTTTGTTGAAATTTGTATAAAAAAGGTGACAAAAATTTCACTTTTCTTCTTCTAAATCCGTGTCACTAAATGTTTTTTGTTTAATAATTTTTATGTGGCACTAATATGATTTTATGTAAAAAAGTTAATTTTTAAAAAAGTTATATTCCAATCAGTTTTTCTTCAAAAAATGTTTTTCTCTAAAAAAAAACCAAAAGCACAGTAAAATTTTGAAATATAGGTGACAACGATGAACAAACAAACCCATCAAAATCTACAGAAAAAAAACTAAATCAATGAAACCTGTGTGATATTTGGTGTAACTGATTTTGAAGCCGGTGTAGATTTGTGGTGGAGGCACGAAGGTTGTTATGAAGGTGAAGTTTAGGTAGTTAGAAGAAGAGTAAAGTGACTCGGGGGGCTTCCAACGGCCGCAATAATTTTCTGAAATTGGGACGGTCATAATATTCTACACCCAAAATAAAAACAGGAAATGAATAAAGAACAAGGAAGATGATTTCAAAGATGTTGGTCGCGATAAAATCTTCCTTATTAAGAAAATTTTGTACTAATAATATACTGATAAAAAATTTTAATGATAAAAAAAGAAAAATTTATTTATGAAGATTTGTGAAGTTTTAACAGTCAAAACTAGCCATCAAAATACCATCAAACAATAATCAGAAGATCAATTAATATAAATGGAATCATATGGAGTGCGAACTGTTGTTAGTTTCGCCAGCAACCACCAATTTATCCTCCTTACACTGGTGTCCCGAATTTGTGTAGATGTCAACATATAAGAATCTGTAAAATTTTATGGCTCGTATCAGCATTCAAACCCGGCGAAAAAAGTTAAATAAAATCGTCCAAAAGCTAATTTATAGTGCTCGAAAGCAAAATATAAGTTTCCCAAATATTAAGTTATTTAATTTGTTTTAAAGTTTTTCTTTGTAACATAATTATTCAAATCTTATTTTTTTTGTCTTTTATCATGTGTTATTTTTAATACTATAACATACTCAATAAAACATTATAATATACCAAAATACCATTGCATTAGAGTATTATAACAACTTTGATTTAGGTTATATCTTAATGTTTGTTTTTTTTATTTTAAAAGTGGGTAATTATTTTTTTCTATTTTATTAATTTTAATTATTTTTCCCTTTACTGAAGTAACACGGTGGCCTATACGAGTTAATTTTCTTATTTGTTCTCCAAAGACCATTGATTACTATTTTTTATTGTGTAGTTTTTTGGTTTTGACTAAATGAATGAATAAATAAATAAAATAAAATAAAAACACGAGCAGCATGTTGGGTTAATTTTTTGAAGCATGTAGAAGAACAGAGTGACCAACCTCGTAGTGATACGGTGGTGTTTCGGGTTGGTCTCCAGCCTTATCATGCAGGTCTGAGGTTGAAAAATTATTTTAAAAAATTATTTTTTTTTATTTTTATCTTCTTATCGTCCCATTTCAATGTCTGGTTGTTTTTGTTATTTCTGTAATCGGTACAAAAAAAAAAAAAAAACAACAATATCATCATCGTCATCAACAATAACATCATCATCATCACCAACAGCAACACCATCATTATCATCATCAGCAACACCATCACTATCATCATCACCAACAGCAACACCATCATTATCATCATCACCAACAGCAACACTATCATTATCATCATCACCAACAGCAACACCATCATTGTCATCATCACCTTTCCGGGTTCATAGTACTGTGCTACGGAGTCAAAAATGTAACCAAATGGATTGGAATTGTTAACCGAGAAGACGGTTGTCTCGTTCTCATTGCAATAATTCTGCATGTATACTATCGCAGTGAACGTTTTAAACTTTTATTATGATTATATAATTATGATTATGTAATTATGATTATATAATTATGATTATATAATTGTGATTACATAATTATGATTATATAATTATGATTATATAATTGTGATTCTATAATTATAATTTTAAACTGTTCTCAGACTTTGATTTTTGTCCTATAGATTTTGCAATAAACTCATATAAGTTGGTTGGTGAATCGGTATCCAGTTTAATAATTCACTTAATTTGTGGACAGTAACTGAAAAGAAGAATGTACGAGTTTACACACATTCAATTTTAAAAATAGCTCGAATTTTTTCTGTTGCTTCTACATTCAAGTCAAAATCGACCTTTTTTAGTCTAATACTCAAGTGAGATTTTATAAATCACAAAGAATTGCTGTCATGTTTATGTGAATTCTCTCCTTGTGTTGTAAAAAATGACGTTGCAAGGTTGAGCTATTATATAATATGAGCTCTACGTACCTGCTGTTCTGTTGTTAGGAGTAGGTGTCGGAAGAAGAAAAATAATTTTTATATTAATTTTTTGTAATTTATGATGATATATTTTCTAAGAAATGTTTCGACAGCTGTAATAATGTCATTAAAAATTTTAAAAATGGCAAGAGAGCTTCAATTATACAAGTTTGTTTTATTATTATTTTTAGTTTTCTTAGTTTCAACATTGTAATATTTAATTGTAAAATTACGGAAATGAAATAAAATACACTTTATTAAGATAAAATTAAATTAATTACTTTTAATGAAATTGTATAAAATGGCATAATTAACAGAAGTAATAGAAAAATCTGTATTCTTGTTCCATTAGAGTAGCCGAAAATTTGTCGTACAGTTGCTTGGGTTTTTAAAAAAGTTAAAAATCTTTTTATCTAGTTATTCTGAATTTGGCCTAGATTTCTACTAAACCAATATTTGTTGAAACAGTTTACAGTCTATCTCAATTTAAATTAGAATATTTTTCAATAAAACTTCGACACAATTTGGATATCTCATGGTGAAGAAGCTTCAACTCTAAAACTCACCTTAGATAAGGCTACCCCTTTGTCTTGTACTGAAATCTATTGTTGTCAAATTTAGCCTTTTCAGATTAATATTAAAACATTTGTGTCGTGTATTAAAATCTGTTTACAAAAAATAGAGACTTTCCAAAAAAAAAAACCAAAGATTTCGGGTAACAATCAATAAAATGCCTACTTCTGTCATAGTCGATATCTGCATGTAAGTATTTTACGGCGGAGACGATAAGGAAGAAGATGGTAGAGAAGAAATTTGGAAGGATCGATCGTTTCATTGGGTTGATGTTATTGATCATCTTGTCCTGGAGGTTAATTAAATTGTTGGTGTCATCGCGAATTAAAAAAATAAACTTTTTTTGAAGTCATACGATTTGTGTTGCTCAGTTCATTCAAGGATATATGACTAGGAAGTATTTTCCAATAAAGTAAGATGCCACAACAACAAAAGTGTAAAAAATTACGCTCGGATAATTTTTGAGTAAGTAAACAGTATATTTAGACATTAGACGCTAGACAAGTCTATAGGTATAAAGACAAGTCTACGAACAAACTGATCAACACTAATTTTTATAATTACGAATATTGCCATTCTTGCTAATATTAATTTATGTATTTGCATGAACTAAACAATTTCACACTGAAAAAATGAAATAAATAAAATGTTATAATAATAAAAATCTGAAATGATAAATTTTTAAAAAAATGCTCCAACCGGTTTTGTTTGACACAAATAAAAAAAAAATGAACACTAATCCAACCGCCTACATTTGTAAATTTGAAAAAGTTTACCGAATTAAAATGCCTCCGAATTAAAATTATAAATTACAATTTACGACAAAAAAAAACTTACTTAAATGAACATTATTTTAAGAAGAAAATCAAGAACATATTTGAACAAATTTGAAATCCCCAGCGACGTAACTTAGTAAATTGAAATTGTTTTTATGCTGCACCCACTGATATGCGCTTTCGAACAGGTATGCATTTCTTGATTGACTTCAATTTAATACATGAACATTATACAATCTCTTCATCATATCATAACTACATACACGTGTGTGTGTGTGTGTGTGTGTGTGTGTGTGTGTGTGTGTGTTTGATTTTTCTATGTAGTTATATACTGTCAGGAAATCAAAAATGTTAATAATATATATATATATGTGTGTGTGTGTGTGTATGTGTGTGTGTGTGTTTTTAATAAGAGTGCATGAGTGTGTGTGTGTGTTTATGCGCTAAATATAGAAAAATAAAAAACACATTCAATGCATTTATTTATTTGTGCATTACTTCATTCTCAAACTAATTAGCAGATATTACATCGATATATCGAAATTGATTTATCGACTTCGATATATCGAAATTGATATATCAACGTTTATACATCAACGTCTATATGTTAACAATGAAGTACACATACACATATATATAAAGAGAGAGAGAAATAAAGAGAGAGAGAGAGAGAAATAAAGAGAGAGAGAGAGAGAAGCGAGAACAATAAGATCTCCTTATAGCTTATCAACAAGATAGAAACACTCATTCAACTGGCTGATAAAGACAATAAGATTAGGTGTTGTGGCTGAAGTGGTCCAATGTTCATGCAACTAGTAGCCTTAGCAGTAGTATTATTTAGTAGCAGTATCACATTTTACGTTTAAGGTAATGTTAGTGGTAGTAATAGTGTATCATTTTAATTATTAACGGTCGCAATAGTAAAGGAAGTAGTAGTTGTTATATGTAGTATTCAGTGGCGTCGGGGTTGGATAAGAAATATGCGACTCTGGGTATAGCTAAAGGAGTTAGGTTTTAGCACTATAAGTAAGAGGAGCAGAGTATGTTTTAAGATTATGACAAAGAAATGCGTAAAAACCTAACACCTTATCTTTTTGACATTTCTTATTTATAAGATAAGTTGAGCAGATGACGTTCACACGCACGCACGCACACACATGCACACACACATACACACATGCACACAGGCACACGTACACATTTCTCAAAACATCTTCAGTTATTATATTGAAGGTAGCTAGGACTCAAATTGATAAATCAATCTAAAATTAAAGCAAGCAGATATATATATATATGTGTGTGTGTGTGTTTGTTTGTTTGTTTGTGTGTGTGTGTGTGGGTGTGGGTGTGTGTGTGTGTGTGTGTCTAGCTACTGTAGAAGTTTTTTAGCTACATTAATTAAATTATTAGAAAACTATCCAAAAGTCTGCACCCATTCATCAGCCACCCAAAGAAACCCATTTGATTTTAGCATCATTATTTTGTAGTATGAATTCGTCACGAAATAATAACAAATTTACAAAAGATATTATAAAGAAACAACTCAGAATTGGACGAATGGAACTCAATGAAAAGAGTTTTTTCTAAACTTTATTTGAAAGACATCCCTACACACTTAATCATGCGATTGTGGAATATGTACATTGTGCATATATACATACAACATGCATGTGTGTGTAAGTGTGTGTGTGTGATTGTGTGTTTGTGTGTGTGTGTGTGATTCTTTCCATCTTGCCGTAAGATCGCCTGATAGATAAGATCAGGTAAAAATTTATTTAATGTGTTTTACTCCGCCTTTAATGACTATATTAATATGATAATTAATGATATAAAAGACGACGTCATGGATGTTCTGCGTTACGATACGATAACGTGTTATAATGTTCGATACGATACGATACCATGTTATAATGTGTGATACGATACGATACCATGTTATAATGTGAAAGTGTATGAATCGGAATATTGATGAGAAGGTAAAATGATCATTTTCTGGCTACCAGATAACTCAGTGACGAACAGACAAAGACAAGTAGTGGGAAATTTTTTTAAGTTTCAAAGTTTAATTGTATTTAATTTAAAAAAATTAATTTTTTAATCTACTAATGTTGGAGAATGCAGCAACAATTGTGAATTGAAATTTATACAGAAATCAGAGGGAGAGCCATTGGGGGAGCGTCAGGGTTACCACACACCCACTCCAGACACTTTTGTTTAGAAAAAGTAACTCTAGTTCGGCCTAACGATGTTGTGTTACTCTTAAGCGTCTATAATACCACAAACTAATCCATCCTACTTCTGACTAAGTTCGAGTCAAAATGAAAATTATTAAGAATAATTAGGTGAGGATCGATTATAAAACTTTTCTTCAAAGTTTTGGTAGTAAAATTTTCTTATATTTAAAAAAAATAAGCTCTAGGAATTATTTGTATCATAATTTTCTACATGAACAACCATTAAATAAATTACACGTTTTAAAGTTTGAAGTTACCATCTACTCCATCAATCATTAACATTCATGACATGTTTGGCAGCCTAACGATCAGAAAATATATTTCATTCAAAAATGTGGTGCTAGAATCTTAAAAGTTGATACTTCCTCCCAAAATCTGATTGAAAATATCACATTGCATGCATAATATCACATCATATCATATATCATAAAATACCATATATCATATCGTAGCATATATCCTATCATATATCACTTCATATCATACATCTCTTCATATTATATATCATATCATATATTATATATCATATCATATACCATATCATTTCATATACCATATCATTCCATATATCATATCATATATCCTACCATACATCACATGGTATCATATATCATATTTAGTTTTAATTTTCAACAATGTTTCGAATGTGGGAACTTTAACCATTGAAGAAATATTTATTCAAAAATTCATTTGTAAAGTGTCCTTGAAGTCCACACACACACAACACACACACACACACAAAACACACACAACACACACACACACACACGAACACAAACACACGCATCTTCATCGTTTATGGGTAGGTTTAAGCTGACGACAATAATAGATCGACGCCAATAATGAAGATGATGACGACAATGTCATGAAGCTAAAATGGAGGATTGAACAAACACGTTTGCCTTTATTGTTATTATTGTTATTATTATTATTATTATTGTTGTTGTTGTTGTTATATTGTCATTATAACTGCCACTATTAGTTTTATTACTACATTAACTGTTAACATTAATTAACGAATGCCTCTGCGCCAATTGTTTATAAATAAAATTTAAACTGAATTTCTTAAATCAAAATTGGAAAAAAGGCAAAAATAATTATAAACTAAATAATAAAAATGAATTACGATGTAATAAAATTAATATATAATAAAAAGTCGTTAGAGTCCTAATTATAATTGCTCAAGCACGTGATTGGTGAACTCTTAAAATGACATCATCATCAGCACAGCACAGCCATCAGCACATCTTCATCATCGTTATCTTATAGTCATAATTTAATATAATATAATAATATAATTTAATAATATCTTTATAATCTTTAATTTTTATCATCATCAGTTTATAATATGACAACATCATCATCGTCGTCGTCTTCATCATCTTGGGTGAACGCATGATGCAACAACAGCATGACAAGTCACGAGCAATCAACAATTAAAAATTTTCTAGCTTGCATTGTGATTAAACAACTATTGTATGAGCCAAAATTAATTATATTGCATTACATTATATTATAATATACTATATTATGTTATACTATAATATACTATACAGTATTATATAATATTATAATATAAATATTAATATATATTGCTTAAGTTTATTAAAATATGAAACTATATAATAAAATATGTAATATTATAACATGTTAATATATAAAAAATGACGCCGCGTTATAAAATCTCTTTGTTAATCTATACGTTCGTTCGTTCGTCATTTTGTCTTTCGTTTATTCAATTATTTAATCATTCATTTAATTGAATGATTTAATTGAATTTGTATTCCTTCATTTATTCGTTTGCTTGTGTGTGTTGGTGTCTAAAAGTTTTCTTACGTCTTCTGTCTATTTCTCTCTCTCTCTCTCTCTCTCTCTCTCTCTCTCTCTCTCACGATAATTCAGTAAAATCTCTCTCTCTCTCTCTCTCTCTCTCTCTCTCTCTCTCTCTCACGATAATTCAGTAAAATAATTTAATTTATTCTCGTAACCTACTGTGTGTACGACTGTTTGATCGCGATTTATGTATAAAAATTGAAGTGCTTTCATTGTATAAATATGAACATTTGCATCAGAGTTGAGTGAATTTCTCTTTAAAACGCGATACAGCCAGCGAATTGGTATAATATTTTAAATTATGGATGCTAATAAGATATTGAAGTTGATTCTATGTTCGCTATTTGCCGCCGTTGAGGTCGTATGCAATGGTCGGTTGAAGTTGCTCTGTTTTACACTTTCAAAAATTTCTCGCTTTAACAACGTGCAGTAAATACTCCTAAGATCGAAATCTTCATTGTCATTATGGAAAAATTATTTTTGAAAAATTATTTAAAATACTTTTTATTGTATGTTCTGTTTTTTTTAAGTTCCGTGTCCTGACATTCCGTGTGGGATAAGATGCATGTGGGGGCTTCAACACGATGACAATGGATGTCAGCTCTGCGCTTGCTTGCCACACCCATGCGCAGTTCGATATATTTAGTATTAGTTCCTTAATTTTCACCAAAATTAAAAAATTATTACAATTTTTTAGTCAAAAATGACAATAACTGTTTGTTATTTATTTTATGTGTGTTACTTGTAAACACTAATATACAAAACCCAGGCGATTCTCTGCTTGTCTGGCCAGCCATGCTCTGTTTTTCCAAATCTTGGCTGTACCGGTCCCAACTGCGATCCATTCATTGGAATTTGCGGAGCAGGTTGGTTGTGATGTGCTTGTCAATAAACTGTCAGGTTTTAGAATTGTAATGTCGGAAAAAATAGACCTAAGTTTGTGTAGTGAATTTTTGAGAAAAGTGCGATTCGAAAATCTTGATTCGTTTGTTGGTTGTTCATCTGCTTGCATTTTCAAATTAACGTAAATATGACAGAGTTGTTTGGTTTCTTTTTTGTTAATAGATGAAACTTTCTCGTTTGTTGTAATTAAATTTGAATTTTGTTTATAAAAGAACACTGTTGTAGTAGTCTGGCCCGATAATGTTTTTTAATATTAGCGTAACTTCGACGGCGTATTTCGTGAGATTGATAAAAATTTATGATCTCCCAGTGGGGTGTCCTACCTTGGAATGTCGAACAAATTGCGATGGTGGGTATGTCACGGATGAAAAGGGTTGCATGACTTGTCAATGTCTTGACCAATGCCAGGTAATTTTGCGTTCATTTAGTTACAGTCTGTTTTCAATAATTTTTCAAGTTTTTTTGGAATTTTTAACAATTCCGGTTTTAACTTCATTTTTAATTGAAGTTTATGTTGAATGACGTTCATAGAAAAAATTTTGTTTTACGAATTTGCAATTTGTTGCTGTTCAAACCACAACGACTTGCTTATCCACATCACTCGACGCACATACACATTATGTATGCACGCACAAGCACCGCGGCATAGGCGTGTGATAGTCTTTGAGCTTCGGACCGGCAGTTTCGGCAATAAGCCATGCCATAGCGTAATATCATGTCCCGATTTGAAACTTCTACCGACTAAGCTAACTTGGTCATCGATGACCAATTTTTTGTTTGCTAGTTCAACCTGGTAGTAGTTTTTACAGATTTCTGATGATTTTTATCCACTTAAATTTAAAAATTTAGATTGAATTTATAATTTATACAATGCCATCTGATCACAGAACTTTTTTAAATTTTCATCTGCAGCCGAAATGTTCGAAAAATGAAAAATGCCAGAAAGTGGTGTTCGGTTGTGAGAATCCTCCTCCGGGCCAACCCTGTGATCCCATTCTCGAGCGGAAGTGTGTGTCCAGTGAGTCAGTTGAAAAAAATCTTATTTTCATAAAAATTTTAATCAAATTAGCAGATAAGTTAAACTAGTTTTTTCGTTTTTTCACATTAAACAACAATTCATGATTGAAAATATTTCCATTTGTTTTAAAATTAAACTCTCTAGTACTATCACTGCCAGAACATAATGTCTCAGCATGTCCGCAGTTGAAGTGCAAAACGTGCCTCGGAGGAAATGTTGTTGATGAAAATGGTTGCATGACTTGTCAGTGTCTCAATCCGTGTCTGGTAATTTTTAATTATTTTGTAATTTTGGCATTTAAAAACAACAAACTAATAAGGTTTTATTCATTTTGATTCATTTTGATTATCTAATTTCGTTATGCAACAATTCAGCTAGACTCAAGTCATTTTTATTTTCCTTTCCAAAAGAACAATTGTTTAAGCAAGTCCAACACAGACATAAAAAGAAAAAAAACAAAATTTGTAGAATAGTGCGACTGGTGTTGCTTACAATAAAATTTTTCTATCATATCAAATTTAAGCATATTCATATAACAAATACAAATTAATCAAATCTTGTTCATCAGTGAGCAGGACATGGATGAGTTATGTTTCTCCTTGTCTCACAACCATCAGAGCAAACAATTTGTAGCATTTGTATTTGAAAGAACTCATTGCACAAGAACAAATTATACAAATGTTATTAATTTTTAACCTCTCAGGGTATAATGTGCACAAAAGGTAAGATTTGTCAACCTACAGCCCCTGGTTCACTGGTGAGATACAGATGCGTCAAGCCGAGGAAATTGTGTTAGTCACTATGATGAAAAACAAAATCTACCAACCTGGTATAAAAGTTAAACCCATGATAAAATTCTTTTCAAGATGCTGTGTGTGTGTGTGTGTGTGTGTGTGTGTGTGTTTGTGTACGAGCGTACGTAAATATCATTGCATGATATTCTAGTAGGCTATTATTTGGCAAGAACATTAATATTATAAATATTGCGAATTTGAAAAAAATTCTAATTCTTATTCTAGTAGCAAATTTTGATGAAGCCATGAGAATTGAATTGATTCAACGTCACATAATTACTGCCAGGTTGTCCAAAGCCGATTGCACCACCAAATGCCCACCTCATTCGTCCGGGCACATGTTTCCCGAACTGTCAGACGAAGGAATGCGGGGGAGAGACTATGTGCTGTCCGAATTGGTTGGGTTGCTACGGTTGTGTGGGGGCAGTGCCCTGTTAATCCAATTCAATTCCTGGATTCCATCTTGGAATGTGAACACCACTTTATATCATATTCAGTAGTTGTTTAGTTTATATAGAGACTTAAATTTATTTGACTACGGAGTTAATTTTTTCTAATTTTATAAAAGAAATTAAAAAACCTTGATCTAATTCAATTTTTGTTTAAACATTTTTTGCCTGTTGTTAAATAAATAGTTTTAGTTGCTTCATAAAATCTTATAAATAATACAATTGCTAAAACTGAATGATCTGATCACGCCATGAAAACTTACGTGATAGAAATCTACCGAAGTGCTAATGGGTATATATAACCCAAGTACATCCCATATGATGAATAATTTCTTTTTTAATTAGTTAAATATAAAACTTTATTTAAGTAATTCATTCATAAATTTGAATTTACATCATTAAAACTACGGAAACTATTACAAAGACGAAACAAAAACACAATTTTCAAGTGAATCTTTGGTTCTAAGATCAAATCAAGTCAACATAGGTAATTTACCCAAACATGTATATGAAATACTTCAATTAATGCCATATTAACATTAAACTTTGCAGAAATTTTACAGAAAAAGATGCTGTCATAACAACATCACAAATACAATACAATTGAGTAAATATTTATGTCCCTTAATGTCATAGACACATTATAATATGTCTATGACATTAAATGTGTCTACGATATTAATGTTTTGTGGGTTTTAAGCCTATCACAAAGTTTGACAAATTTGACTTTACAGCTTAAAATACACTCTCACAAAATGCAATCAAGTTTCGCGATGCTGGTTTACATATTTTCGATTCGTTATGCGTCAGTATTGTGAGTAAAAATTTAAAAAAGTGAAAAAATGAGAAAATTATATAATATTACAACATTTTAATCATGATATTGCTTCCAATTTTTAGAAATGAATAGCCAAACAATGATAAAAGCGTAATAGGGCGGGCGTTAAAGTTTTTCAAAATGTATAGTGAGGAAAAAGCGAGCGACTAACTGACCTCTGTCCACCTGGCAAATCTCATACATCCATCTATGTATTTAAAAAAAATTAAAAGTATCTTATTGATGTATCTTAGTATTTTATCTTAAGTATCTTGTCTTATTAACTCATTGATTATAACACAAAATAAGATGTAACAATGTATATTTTACATGTGCTTATCTAGATACATGAAAACATATAATTATTAATTTACTGATAATAATTCAAAAGATAAGATAATAAAAATATGTGATATAAATATGTGAATACATAGATACTATATAAAAAAAACATAAATGTATAATAATTAATTTATTGATGATGATTGAAAATAACAATATATGTGCTGCATATTTACATATATAGATTAAAATATAGATGGATCTTAATTAATTTATTGATGAAAATAATAGTTGTTGCTGTTGTTAATGTCACCTTGAAAATTTCGACACAAATTTTCAGGGATGAAATGATTACAGTCGTACATTTCAACACCATTGTTGCTGTAACTGACCGCATCAACGTTGTTAATGTAACTGATGTCGTTGTCATTGTTCGCGTAATTTATGACGTCATCATCGCTATTATTGACTTGATAGATGATGTTGTTGTTGTTGTTGTTGTTGTTGCTACTGCTGAATTTGTTGATGTTGCTGACGCTGTTGTTGTTGTTGATGTTGTTGATGCTATTTAGGTTGTTGTTGTTGATGATGATGTTTTTCATGTTATCGAGGCTGATGTCGTTGTGTAAGTCGTAGTAAGCTTGATTTGGCTGCAAGTGGTAGTCGTTGCTGTAGTCGAAACCGTTAAGAGGGTGATGACCATTCACCTCGTTAACGTAATAATAAATATTGTTGTTGTGGTTGTTGATGTAACTGTTGTTGTTACTGTTGTAGACAGTCTTGTAGTGGTTGAAGTTGCTGCTGTTGCTGCTGAGGCTGTTGTTAGAATGTGCGCTAGTGAAATTGTAGTTGGGGTAGTTGTTAATGTAGATGTCGTGCCTGGAGTAGAACGTTGGTGAAGATGCTGACGCATACAGAGACGGCACTGGAGATGATGATTGGCGGAAAGCCACGTAAGAAAGTGACGATGGGTAGTAAGATGAGGATGAAGATGGAGATGACAGGAAAAAGGATGATGAGGATGATGATGAGGAAGATAATGATGATGATGCCGTCGGGTAATTTGCTGCAGTCGCGGATGAAGAGGATGTTGGAGGGAAAAAGTTGGATGGATCCAGGCTGGCTGCGCACTTCCTGAATGATTGAAATCATTCACTTTTAGGATTGAAATTTGGGATCGTTAAATTTTTTAGGATTGAAATGTGGGATCGTTAAATTTTTTTAGGATCAGTGGTGATATTAATAACATTTCTTGACGGTATAGTGAATTCAGTCAACATCATCAACAACGTTAATCTTAACACACACAAACACACACACACACACTTCTCTCTCTCTCTCAATCTTTCTTTCTCACTAACACACACACACACACACACACATATTTATAACACAATCACCATCTATAATATTATCATTATTATATTAATTAAATTAAATTATGTATAATTATTTTTTTATTAGTTAATATTATTTTTATTATAACTAATATTTAACCTTTCCTGAAATCCTTTGGCGAATGGATTGTATTTTACTTTCAAGTTTGTTATCTAGAAGGAATGAATAAATGAGTGAATGAATGAACGAACGAACAAACGTTTATGTGTCTGTCCGTCTGTCTATTTGACTGGCTGTCTGTCTATGTGCCAGTCTATCTGTCTCTCTGACCGCATGTTTATGTGTGCGTGCGCAAATTCAAACGTTTATTAACTGATTACTAGAGATAATTGATATTAAAATGTATTAAGAATATTATTCCACTATTAATTATGTAGACGCCGTGCAAGCAATCAATAGCAATTTTGATGTAACTTGAAGTCATTAAGTCATGCATTCATACACACACACATTTGCACATACACACACATTCTCTCACACACAGACACACACAACATGTGTGGGAAGAAGACCAAGCGAGATGCAATAATATTGTCGTGAGAGAATCATAAAAATAATTTACCATCAACAAAGTTACATCAACACTAACAACAACAATAACCCATGATATTAGCATAATCACCAATAACAACAACAACATCATCATCAAATCAACAACAACAAAATTAACAACATCGACAACAACAATACCAGCAACAACAACAGCAACAAAAATGTCAACAACAGCAACAACAACAACAACATCAACAACAACATCAACAACAACATCAACAACAACATCAACAACAACATCAACAACAACATCAACAACAACATCAACAACAACATCAACAACAACATCAACAACAACATCAACAACAACATCAACAACAACATCAACAACAACATCAACAACAACATCAACAACAACATCAACAACAACATCAACAACAACATCAACAACAACAACAAATCAACAGTAGACGTAGATTCATCATGTCTTCAAATTGAGCGTCTCATATGCTGATCTATTAGCACATCAATATTGCACTCTGTTACCAACATCATTTCCTCTGTTATATATATGTATATATATATATATATACATTATATGTTATATATATATATATATACATGTTGTATATATATATATATACAACATTAACGTATATTAAGTGTATAATTATTGTGTGTGCGCGTGTGCGTGTGTGTGTGTGTGTGCGTGTGTGCGTGTGTGTGCGTGCGTGTGCGTGGGTTTGCGTGTGTGTTAGAATAAAAATTATGTAGTACATGTAAGATATTTTTAACGAAAATCATGTCCTCTACATTGTAATATCTTAAATAGTATTTCATCATCTCTACTGGGGAGTTATTAAACACACACACAAACACACACTTTCTCACACGCAGACACACGCAGACAGCCAGTCACAGACACACTCAATGATATACACACAGATACATATTTTGGTCGGTTTCTTTAAAGACCACACACACGTACATATTAGTGTATGATAGTGAATTGATTTATTCATGTGTAGTTAACGACAATGATGTATATTGTAATATACACACACACACACACACACATATATATATATATATATATATATATATATATATATATATATCAGCATGACATTAATAATGTAATTATTATGACGACGATAATGACATATATAATTGTGATAAGGTTGATGTAGCAGCTATTATATTATAATGACTTTTATATATTAATAATAATCACATTGAGTGATGATAACCACTTTTAAAAAATTAAAATTAAAATTTATCAGCTAGGAGGGACTTTTGAAGTTAAGACAGATATTTAATTTAGGGTTAAGGTTAAAGTTGACAAAATCTATATTGAAATTTTTTAAATTTCGTTATGGTCTCTTAAAAATAGGAATTAAAATTTCGTCAAATTTGATCAAAAAATATAAATTTTTATATGGAAATCATCATACAAACGCCAGAAAGCGGTTAACAATTTCTTTTTCTAAAAAATTAAGCCCCTCCAACAAAAATTTTTTGGCTACGTTACTAAAATGCATACGTACTTCTTCATTTTGGTAGGCTGTGACAGCAATGAAAGACGTTTCGCCGAATGTGAACGACCCAACAACTACATTACCACCGTAGTTGATGTCGCCATGGCAGCGCGTACAGTCGTGACATTGCGTTTCTAACTTGTTTTTAATGTTCTGGGAGAAGATAGTTGTGATATCGCTATTGTTGATGTCATCTTGAGAGTTGTCGATGTGATCGTTTGTGGTGTTGTGGCTGTTGTTTGTGGTGTTGTGGTTGTTGTTTGTGGTGATGTGGTTGTTGTTTGTGGTGTAGTGGTTGTTGTCTGCGGTGTTGTGGTTGTTGTTTGTGGTGTTGTGGTTGTTGTAGTTGCTGCTACTGCTGCTGTTGCTGCAGTTGTCGTCAGCGCCTTGAAAGTCGCGATTACATTTTCTGTATTTGTTATATTTTGTGTAACTGCTGCTGCTGTTTTTGCTGTTAGTGTTGAAAGCTTTACCACGTCTGATGGTTTTGTTTTCAAGTCTCTTTCTACTCGCCGGTAGGTTGGTGGTGTTGTTGAAAGTTTGATAGCCACTGTCACAATCATTCCGGTTCTCCTCGTCAGAGTTCCTCTCACGTTTCGAACTGTCATCATCATTAAAGTGTTCCGAATTGTTGTTGATGTCTTCTACAGTAGTGCTGCTGTTAGTCCAGTTAATGTCGTCATTGTTGTTGTGGTTAAATGTGTCGAGGTTATTAGGATGTTTTTTCTGGCTTGGAACATTTTTGTTGTTGGATGTGTTGGGAGCGTTTTTTAGTGGGTTGTTGCTGGGATTGTATTCAGTGTTCTTGTTGATATTAATGTAATTGTTGTTGTTGCTGTTGTCGGTGTTATTGTTGTAACTGTTATTGTTGCTGCTGCTGTTGTTGTTGCTAATGTTGTTGTTAGTGTTGCTGTCGTTGTTGTAATTGTTGTTACTCCCACAGGGGCATGAACATCTAGCGTCATCTGATTTGTTGGAAATTATCTTCACAATTGTGACCCTTGGCAAGTATTTGTGTAGTGAATCCAAGAAAACCTACAAGAGTTTCATTGTGGTTTTTTATTAATCATTGTTTGTATTATTATTATTATTATTATTGTTTGTTGTTAAATATTGTATTTATTATTGTTGTTGCTGTTATAAATACCTTATGTGTAAATAATTTGTCTGGCAAAACATGTGCAAGTGTGTTTGTCTTTTTTTCAGAAATAAATAAGATAATTTCATTTTTACTACAACGCTTCAGAAAACATTAATAGGGATGATAATGTTATTTATTATTTATGGGCGGCGCTATATAAATGTTTTATATCATTTTTATTGCTATTAAATTAACTAACTTGATCGCCGGAACAGTTGACCTTGTTGGTGACCTTGACTTTTGAAAAGGTCACCACCTGATTGGTCCAATGCTTTCCGAAGTTCGGCGAATCGGGATGAAGGTAGGAAGATGATGACGACGAAGACGACGATGGTGGTGACGATGATGACGACGATGGTGGTGACGATAATACCGGTGATGATGATGAAAAAGAAGATGACGACAACGGAAGTGAAAATGATGGAGACGGGAATGACGCCATCTTTTGGCGGGGAAAGGGATGAGATAGCTCGAGAAGATTGTGAGCTGTTTGCGAAGTATCATTGTTAATGTTGTTGCTGCTGCTGTTGGATAGCCAGTCTCCATTGACAAACTTCCATCTGCTAGCTCCATTCATCTTCACAAAATCCAGGTAGACGCTGTAGAAACTGTTTGCCTCCAAGCCCGATATATGCACTCGCAAGACTGGAAACATACGCCTGTTAATGAAGTTGGTAGTGCTGGTGATATTCATGAAAATGGTGATTATTTTTTTTGCTCTATTCACATTTCTCAATTTAAATAAACTAGCTTATTGTACTTTCTCAATAAATACTCTAGAACTACCTCCTAGCCAAGTTTACAATGAAAAAAAAATCATTTTTTCTCCTTAAGCAGACTATGACGTTTAATTTTACGAATCGGTTGACAAATTCAAAAACGAAACTGGTAATAAAATTACTTAATTTACTGAGTTATTATTTTAATTACTAGTGCTGAAATAAATACCGATCATTTTTTTCAAATTGTATCTTATAATATTTTAAAATATTATTGCTTATGAGTATTTTTAACTTAATTGCAAACAAAACGACTCACCTTCCATTTTTAGTAACAATCATCTCATTGGTCAGTTTATGAAACTCCTCCCACAAAGACTTATCCTCCAATGAGACGTTCACATCTTTTTGTGACTGGCAACCGACAGTTGCTGTCGTCTGTTGTGGTTGTTTCTGATTGGTTGTTGGTCGGCTGCTACTGGTCGATGATTGGGTGGATGACGTTTTCAGACGTTTCGTAGGCAGCATCATTGATGACGATGTTGGAAATAGAGCAGCTGCAGCCGATGAAGCTGCTGCTGCTGCCGCTAATAAAGATGATGACAACGACGATGAAGTATGTTGTAGCTGAAATGCTGGCGTCGATTGCAGTGACGACGATAACGACGATGAAATTGAAAACAGCAGCGGTGGTAACTGTGCAGACGACAAAAACGTTGACGCCAGTGGTGGTGCTGACACCAGCGGCGATGACGCCATGGATAATGACGTCACCGATGATGAATATTGTTGATGACGCATTGACGGATATTGATTTGTTGATGGCGTGATGACTTGCGACGCTGCGTGAATCATCAACTGCGTATAAGATGACGGAGACGAGTAGATCGGCGATGATGAAGGCGATGAGGACGACGACGATGATGGCATTGACAGCAGGAGCAGCGAACCCGCCGGATGCGATGGTACGGTGTTTGAAAATGGTGGAGCGTTCAATTTCTGGTGGGCCGATTTTGGTGTAGATGTATGGAAAAGAAATTTTAAAGATGATGATGATGGTGGTGATTGTGATGATGATGATGATGATGATGATGATGATGATGATGATGCTATCAGTGATAATGTTGATGGGGAAGATCTTGGTAATGATAAGTTAGATGAAGATGACGATGCTGGTGATGGTGATGAGTAGGTTAGCACTGGCGAAGCAGATAATAACAATTGACTGAAGGACGAATTCTTTGTCTGGAATGATAATGGTGGTGACTGAGCTGACGATGAAAATGTGGCTGTTGTTACTACTGCTACTGCTGCTGCTGATGATGATGATGATGATGATAACGATGACGTCGATGATGGCGAGTTTGAAAAAGGAAATGATGAACTATTATTGTGAAAGACTAAAAATTGAGACGCATTTCTAAAAGATTGTGCGGTTGATGATGATGTAGATGATGATGTGAACCTTGATGATGTTAAGAAAGAGGGTGGTGATGGGGAAAATGGTGATAAAGCCGATGAAATAAAATAAGGAATGGTCTGGTTGGGCGTCCAATCATGTGAGCTAATGTTATCAGGTTCTATACAGCCGTTGCTACTGCTGTTGTTAATTTCAACACGGCTGATGTTTGTGTTGAGAATTTTTTTGCTACTACAATTGGTGAGAATTTTGTTGAAGTTGGTGCTGTAGTTGTTTAGCTGGTAGTATGTTTTGTTGTTGGAATGGGGTGTTTCACAGAGAAATTTTGGCTCTATAGGGGTTTGTTTGTTGTAGAGAATGTTGTTGTTGTAAATGTGGGACATGGAAGTGTCATTCTCATTGGGATATGCCTCCGGATTGTTGAAATAAAGGTTGTAAATGAGGTTGTTGTTGTTGTATTTGTTTTGTAAATGAACTGTGTTTGAGTTGTTGTTGCTAGTATCGGTGGCACATTTGTCGTTGTTTTTGTTGTTGTCGTTGTAGTTTGACTCATCGTCGTCGTCGGCGTGCCAGTAGTGTTGTGGCTGGCAGTAGCCGCGATTGTTGGAGTTCTTTCGGTTCATCTTGATGTTGTCTGGGATGAGGTTTTTTAAGTTTTTGCTATTTGCTGGTATTTGATGTTGAAGTATTTTATATTTTCGATATTTTTGTTGATGTAATTGACGTTGTTATGGTTGTTGCTAGGCTGATGTTGTCGTTGCTTGTGTTGTTGTTGTTTTTGTTGTTTTTGTTGTTGTTGTCAGTTTCATATAACTAAAAACAAAAAATAGTATTATCGTTTACGATGTTTTTGTTTTTAAATTGTTCTCTCGAGTTATTCCGAAATTGTCAACTTTCCTGCAAGTCGAAGAACCACAACTAACCTACTGATGCAAAGGTAAATCATGAGATGTGTGAATTTTCTGTTAGAAAAAGTTACATTGAAATAACTTAGTAAAATAAGTAAAATAGATAGAAAAAACTGCGAAATTAAACAATATTGAGAGTATATCTAAGAAGCTATCAGTTTTGAGCTCTTCGTCTTCATCAGTTTTGGGCAGATCGTCATCCGTTTAATTTAAAGGTTTCAACAAATTGCCAAAAACTTAAATTATTTTAGATTAGCAGACACAAAGCTCATTTAAAAATCAAATCTAAAATTATTTTTTTTATATATGAATAACGTTTCTTTTAATTTGCAAAATATTGATTTAGGCCAAAAAATCAACTTTCTACAGATCAAATTTCAAAAGTTCAGACATTTAAATGAGGATATTTAAAATCTCGAATACAATTTATATAACATTAAAAGACGGTCTAAACATTGGAACGATGTGATTGGCTGACGTAGGCGGTGGGTGGAGCTCATGTGAACAATTTCTTCGCTCATTGGCTGTTGTGTTAATACTACAGTTGTGATTTTATTTTGAAAAACTTCAAAGAATTCAATTCAATATTTAATTAATTGGGTAATTGAATTTTAATTACAAGTAATGTTAATTATTTTGTTGTTATTGGCAAAACGAAACAAAATTTTATTTACTCACAAACATTTTGTAGCAAAAATGATCTTGTTTTAACATTTCAAATATTAGATTGTTATGTAACCAATTGCTAGTGTTGTTGTTGTTGTTGTTATCGTTGTTCTTAGTTGTTATATTAGTGTTGTTGGAACAGTAACCTGTACAAAAATCCGATTACCTTCGTCGTTTCTCAAATAGTTGCTTCACCATTTTAATTTTTGCCAAATCTTAATGATGGGGCTACGTGTATTGGTTGATATGTTTTTAAGTGTGTGAAGGTAACGTTTTTGTAATCATTTAAAGGTTTTATTTTTCAATTATTTTGGGGTTGAATCTGACAAATTCAAAGTTAAAAATTTTCTAATTATCTTTAATGAAACTACACACACACACATTCGCATTCACGCACACATGCGCGCACACATTCACACACACACACACATTCACACACACATTCATACACACACACTCGCACACATAAAACATCAGTCAAGCGACTCAACGCAATCAGAAAAAACATCAAAGGATTATACAAATTCATAACCCACTCGGACATATGACAAAATCATTATCGCAATTCACTTTTATTCACTTTGGTTGTAACGTTACGTCATAAACTACTCAATAAGCTCAGTTAGGATGGGATGTGTTGCTGTTCGTCTGTTTGTCACTTCGTAGTGTATGATGTTGCTTGCTTGTTAATTTGTTCTCGAAAGATTGCTCATTTATAGATTTATCTTGGTATAGTTTGTTCATACTTTGTTTTTTAAACTTTATTTTGTTTGTCTGTTTGTACGCTCGTTCGTTCATTTGTTTGTTTGGTTCGTTTGTTTGTCTGTTTGTTCGTTCGTTTGTTTGTTTGTTCGTTCGTTTGTTTTTATGTTCGTTCGTTTGTTTTTATGTTCGTTCGTTTATTCGTTTTTCTAATTATATCAAAATGAATGCAATTTTTCATCCAGAACAAACACACTAGCATATAAACAATAATAAACAGGCTACAATGAACAATATGAAAAATAAATACACAGAATAGAAACTTATGCCAAAAACCACCAGCATAACCATTTAATAAACTGATATATCAGAGAGAATACACCATCATTCCGTCAGATACACCAAGAAGATGCCACTAATGTACCAGTGAAGAACCGCTAACACCCACATGCACTCTTCGAATATGTACGGAACAAATAGGCATAATAAAAAAAATGAAATTTCTCATCCTAGCAATGACAAAAATGTTCGAATATCTTGGTAATCGCTTTAGCAAACTAACACACATACGCGCGCGCGCGCAAACACATACATACACATCTGCTTAGCTAAGCGGAGCATGTTCAATGTATCTGTAATTATTATTTTCCTATGTATGTATCAGAGGAATGGGAATAGAGAGGGAACGGCAAAAGCGGGAATTCCATGGAATTTCCGTTGGAGTTGGAAAAAAACTTAATTTTCGGGAGTGGGAACTTTAGGGAAGAGGGATTCACGTGCAAGCAATGAAACCATAAAGAACTTTCATGTTATGTATTTTGTATATACATACGTATATGAATTCTACCGAATTATCGCAATTAATCAATTTTATAATAACAATTTAATAATTAATAACAATTGAATATTAAGAATAACATATTTGACTATTTTTTTGTTAAATATAAATTATTTGATAGTTTATTAACAAAATAAACATACTTATAAACAAACAAATAATTAGATGATTATATGAAGAAGTAAAATATGGAAATCATGTCTAATGATATCTGATTAATTGTTTATGTATCTTACCACGGCGCATAGTTGTGCTAATCCAGCTTTACATCCACCGTTATTGCTTTGATGTGATAGCGGAGGGTCGGAGAAAGAGAGAGAGATAGAGAAAAAAGAAAGAAAGAAGAAAAAGAGAAAGAAAGAAGAAAGGAGTAGAAGAGAAAGAGAGAAAGATAAAGAAAGATAAAGAAGAAAGAGGGAAAAAAGAAAGAGAGGAAAAGACGAAAGGCGACAAAGACAATTTTTAGAGATAAAAAAAGAGAGAGATATTGAAATGAATGATAAAAAGAATGAAAAAAAGTATATGTAGAAAAAGAGGCATATTGATAATCGTTTGTTGATTCATTCATTCATTCATTCATTCATTCATTCATTCATTCATTCATTCATTCATTCATTCATTCATTCATTCATTCATTCATTCATTCATTCATTCATGCATTCATTCATTCATTCATTCATCTACCCCTCCATCCATCAGCTAAGCCGATCAATCAGCCGATAGATTTGATAATTAATTAACAGTTTATTTGATGTTCCCAACTGACACATAACTGTTACATCGCAGACCCGTCCATATGCATGTATGCATTGCTAGGATTGCTAGGGATTAAGCAAATATAAACACGAAGCACACGAGTTTGTTTACACACACACATACACACCATACACACACACAGACACGCACACGCACACACACACAGACACGCATGCACGCACACACATACACACGCAGACAACAGTTTCTAACATAACTACAACAAACATACACAATGCGTGAATTATATATATACAAATTCATCCTTTATAGTAGATTTTAATAAAGTTTAAATTATTATGGTAGATTAGTTATTTAGGTTTTTTATTCAAAATCAAAAGTGCAAGGTTCAGATTTTTTTAATTTTCACTTGATTTATGTTTTTAAAGATTGCAAATTATGAAAAACACACATACAAACAACTCTAGAATCATCATTACACCGCAAACAAACACATATACATACAAACAAACAAAACACACAGAAAATAAAACACACAAACATACAAGCATATATGCAGAGATATCATTCCAATCAAACATAAAACTAAACTTTCATCTGTGCGATCAAACACAACTTAAACCCAACTTAAGACAGTTTACTTATTGTTTGCATGTATACAATAGGACAAACACACAAATGCAGTAAAAGAGGGAGATATATAGATAGAGATAGGAGAGAGAGAGAGAGAGAAAGAGAGAGAGAGAGAGAGAGAAGCAGAAACTATGCTAAAGATATTTCTGGAACAATTGACATAACAGTTTTCATGATCCATGCGTGAACATTGAAAACATCCAAGCAAACATCGTTAACAAATAATTAACAGCTATTTTATAGAATCTGTCGTATGTCATGTGTTACAAAATTTTTTTTTCTTTAAAATTTATATTACAAGTGCCAGTCGTCTTGTTTTGTTTGTTTTCAGCAGGAATTAGAAATTTTTGTAACATCTTTTATGCAAATAAAGTTGGATTTGTGTGTACATAAGATTATGGCAAATATTTTTTATTTAGTTAGGTTAGAGAAGTTATAATGCATAATAATGCATTATAATAATCAATCGCATGCTTACTTAAAGTGTCCATAATTTGAATAAGGAAATTTAAAAATTGTAATGAACTCATCAAATTTGCGCAATATAAAGTTTATTAATTGAATATTTCGGGCAAAGTTTATTGATATTTCTGAAATCCAAGAATGATGATGTGAATCAAACCCAAAACATTTTTATTCACCTCTCATAAAGTTTCAGGAACTTTGCTTTTTAAGATTTTATTCAATCATTTTTCTTCACAATTAGCTTTTTGACACCTCAACACTAAAATTAAAATCTGTTGATTTCACTGAATCATGGTATCGGAAGGTAATCTATGGTTTACAAAAGTTTGTTGCAAAAAAGTTCTGGAAGTGGGATGGTGTAGTTGTTAAGGCGCCTGGTCCTGCTGTGGCCGTGACTGCTCTCAAATGCAACAAAATTCTTGTCTCTCACGTGCAATGTTCAATGGGTGTTTAGGTGTATTCGCGTGTTGATGACACCCAAAAAATATAATTAAAAGAGAATTATTAATAATGTCGTCATTTCTTAACATTTTCATCGACAGTGGGGTTGATACTGGAAAATTCTTTATAACATTACATCCAGTTTGTAAGCCAATTAAGATAGTGTACAACATTTAACAAAGAGTTCAAGAATTTTTTTAAATGTTTCAAAAAAATTATTAATTGAATAAAATTATAAATAGTTTAATGTCTATGGATTTTTCAAAGTGATTGTAAAACAGCTTTGTTACCTCAAAAAAAAACTGTAAATAATGCGGGTTTTCTGAGAACTTCGTGATAGTTTTCCATTCAATGAGTAAGCTATTCCGGATAATTACAACTAATGATAAAAATGTTAAATAGTGTTTTGTCTATGGATTCCTCAAAGTGATTGTAAAGTAGCTTTGGGTCATATACTTTAATAACTCTGCGTAACTTTGCTTTGTTGGTTTGATAAATAAGTTTACCTTTAACCACATTGCTTACTTTGGTGTTAGATTTGGATTCGATTAATAAAAGAACTCACTACTCCATCAAGTTTCGATTTATTCTGAATTATTTGTTCAGTTTCACTTGTTTTATTTAATTAAATTTTGTACTTTTAGTAATTACTCAGTCCTAAATTATTTGTTACCAACTTGGACAAGTTGTTCGGAAAAAATAGTTAGAATTCATTCTAAAAAAGAGGAGCTAGTGTGGTCTGATCTAGTCTAGTCTAGTGATTATGAATTCCAATTTAAAAAGAAAAGTATCTGACGACAACGACAATGACGATCGTCTGCATCTGTCGTCTTCTAAAAAGTTCAAATCAACGTCAAAAAATTATGATCCTTTTGATAATGATGAAGGTTTGCTTCTTATTTCTATTACTTAAAAAAAGTAACTCAAATTAAATTTAATTAAGTCTTACTCTTATCTTAAGACTCTTAGTTAACAACAGTCTTACTTAACTTAACTTAATATATTATAATCTTATATATTAGAATACAAAAATTTTTATTTATAAAATAAAAATTGTAATTTATTTATAAATATATAAAATATTCTATAATATCTTGCATCTACTTTTTACTTTTAGTTTACTTTAAGTTTACAGTGTAAAGTCTACACTTAATTTAAAATTGCATTATTATTATAGTTAAATTTTATTTATATTACATACATAATTTTTATGATATAATGATATTAATTAATAATTTTCATTTAATTAGGATGTTTTGGGTCAAAAATTTTTACTAGACCATCAGAAAAGAATGAATCCTCATTATATAATAATGATAATAAGAAGCAAACATCTAGTCTCTCAAATGACTTCATAGGACCTGTCATTCCAGTTAACTACATTAAGAAGGACCAACTAGAAGATGGTGATCGTCGTGTCACCAAAAATTTTGGCTATAGTGAGATTGCCAGAAATAATGAAAGGAAAAATAGTAGACCCGATGGTAAAGATTGTGGAAATGAAAATGTTGAAGAGGATGATGATTTATATGGACCTAGACCACCACCGAGGAATTCTGGTGGGGAAAAATACAGTGATGGTGAAACAGCTGTTGAGGATGTCATCAATGAAATTGAAAAGAGGTCGATGTTGATGAAGAAGAAATTACTTGGTCTTGAACAGGTTTGTTTCATTTTGTTTTATTATATTCATGACCTTCTTAATCAAAAATCTGGTCATCATATTTCTCACCGACCTCCTTTACTGTCTTATTTTTTTCAAAAGGGCTGTCTGTTATTTCTACTAAAACATGAATAAATTATTAACTAAATAAAAGAATATTTAATTTTTACTAAATTTTTATGTTGAAGAATATTTAAAAATTAAATGATTAAAATTTTATTAATTCTCTCCACAGCCTGAAGCATCAAGCAAATCTACAAAGCGAGAGGAATGGATGACACAACTGCCTTCGCAGTTCACAAAAAGTTTCGGAGTGACAGCTCGCAAATTCAGCACATCCCTGAATCACGGAGTAAGCGAGGAGGATCGATCTGGGTGGACTGATACTCCGGAAGATCGTGAGAGAAAGATGAAGGTGAGTGTGGTTTGCAGTTTGGAATGTTGAGTCCTTGTGTCTGTTTGAGTTTGTGTGTAAGTGTGTGTTTGTCTGATTTAGATGAGAAATTAATCGAAAATTGCTATATAAACTCTGTTTCTCTAAAAATAAATTTAAAGTAAATAATAATAACAACATAAATAATTGAACACCACAGAGTAGAGCAACAAGTGGCAATCACAGAAATGATGATGGTGATAATTTGGACGAACCCTCCCCTAAGGACCTCATGCTTATAAGGAGAAATGAGCAGTATAGGAAATTTATCGAAAAACATAATGTTAGTATTGTTTTTTTTTGTTTGTTTGGTTTGTTTGCTTAAGCTCGTTTACATGTTTTGTTGTTTGTTTATCCATGTCTGTTTGTCTGTTTATCCATGTCTGTTTGTTTGTTCACCTATGTTTGTTTATATGTTTTGCTTGTTGTTCGTTAACTCTTGTCTGTTTATTTGCCCATGTTTGTTTATATGTTTGGTTGGTCATCCATGCATGTTGGTTTGTTGGTTTGGTTCGATGTTTACATGATATATTTTCACGTTCATCCTATGGTCAAATGTTTTACAAGTTTCATGGGAAATGTATTCATCAATCGATACAATAGTTTTTAAATGCTACAAATTTCCAGGAAGTGACAAGAAGGAATAAGTCGCTACTTGAGATGCATGAAGAAAAAAGAAGGAAGGGAAAGAAGAAGCGTAGATCGCCATCTTCGTCGTCGTCATCGTCTTCGTCATCGGAAGAGGAAAAGCGAAAAAAGCATAAAAAGAAGCATAAAAAAGATAAAAAATCATCTGGTGATGCCAAAAAGGAGAAAAATCCAAAAGTGAAAAATTCAAAAAGTTCTTCTTCCCCTCAAAAAGAGAAAGCCACAAGACGACCATTTGATCGAGATGTTGACCTTCAAGTCAGTCGAATGACCTTGACTGAGAAAAGGTCTTTCATTGATAAGGCGAGGGTCTTGAATTCAAAGTTTGGTCATGGCAAGAGTCAGTTTTTGTGAGGAAGTTATGTTATAATCACTGTCTTAACAATTTGACGATAAAGATGATGATAATAAAAATGGTGAAATGGGATGCCGTTACTACAGCTGCAGATGAATTATGTTACGCAAACTTTTTTTGTTATAAACTGATATTAAAGTTTTTTTTTTTTTTCATGCAGATATGGCATTATTGTGAAGTTTCATGTAAATAAACTTTTAAGAAACAAATGTTCCTACTGTTTTAAGCAAAAATGACAGTCTTATGGTACGTAAATCGGAAAAAAACTAGCCTATCGATGGCAGGTACGGTTACATAAAACGTGAATTTTTACATTTTGAGGTCACGCGCACACGATTTTGACAGTGATTGATTTGGTTATCATAAAATTCATTAATAAAATGCGTTTTAATTTTCAAGTTAAATATTAACCATAAAATGTGAGCGGATTTTATAATAGAAAATGTGTCAGAATTTTGATTGAATAGTGGGAAAAATAGAATTGAGTATAACCTAGCAGTGGCCCATTGCCCAAATTGGAGAAAATGATATTAATTTTTTGTTAAATACTCAATTTCACTTTTTGACAATATTTATGATAAAGTTATCAAGTTATATACAGTGATCGTTGTTCATTTTCGTTCACTTTCGATAGGAAATCCAATCCTATTAACGTCTTTAAGCACGAGAATAATATGTAATTTTGAGTATTACGATTGAACAACATTTTCTTTAAGAAAATTGTAATAGAAATGAATGAAGGTTTTTGACAGGCTTGAAAATCATAACAATTTTTTACACTATAAAAATAAGAAAATTTGTACTGATTCATGCAAAGTATATAAGCAGTTCAGTGAAGCACAATGAGCATTGATGAAATTATGAAATATCCTGTTCGAATTTTGATTTCTTACCTCCGTAAATTCGGCCTCTACCTCGGCCCCTTCCTCTTCCTCTTCTTCTACCATATTTGCCACCACCTTTTTTTCCACCTCCTTTTCTACTTTTGTCATCACCCCCCTTGCCACCCTTGTCTTTTTTCCCATCATCGCCTTTTCCACTTTTATCTTTCCCATCGCCACCAGATTTGTCACCTTCCTTGGCATTGTCTTTGTTCTCTCCACTTTTGCCATCACCATCCTCGTTGGAAGCTTCGTTGTCTGATTTCTTTCCACTTTTGCTTTTGCTGAGCAGACGATTTAATTTTTGTTTCCAATGGTCCTTGCTGTCATCTTCATCCGGATACTCTATGTGCTCCGTTTCCGCGGCCATTTTTTGTAGAAATTTAACGCGTCGTCCTTGATCTGTGTTGGCTGCAGAGTGCATCCTTTTGTTTTCTTGTCTCATCCAGAGCGTTTCAATTCTTCTATCGATAAGTTGTTTTTCTTCCTCCAAAACTGCAATCTCCGCTTGAATTTCCTTGCTTAGTTCTTCATATTTTTTTCCATGCATCTCTCGGATTGGTTCTGATTTCTGGTTGTCCGATTTGTCTGCATCGCCTGGGCCTCCAGTTGTGTCTGTTCTCTTGTCGCCTGCATTTTCTTCTCGCTTTTGCGGTTCTTCTCGTTTTCTTCCCCATATATCTTTCGAAATTAAAATTGAAATTAGTATTTTATTAATAATTTAGTTGGCGTAGTTCCTTCACTTACGCATTTCTTGTGACCAACGTAATTAGTTTTGTTTTAATATTATTCGCTATGATGCACATGTACATAAAAACTAAGAGAATGAGTAACAAAAACATATTAAAGCTATCATATTTTCATTTGTATTGATATCGTTATTAATATAACATATATTGGGTACAAATATTTCATACAAAGTGCTCAAGGTTAAGCAAACAAATGTATTTTCAAAAGTTTACATTTTTCAGAGCGTGAGTGAACGAGCTGAAGGTGAGCAACTGAAATGAAGATGGAAACAGCGAGGAGAAATAATTTCATCTTCCTTCAGTTGGTTCTGTTGCTTTGCTTTCTGGACTTTTTTTGTTAAGACCTCGTTAAAATATACCTGTGCAGTTGTTTTGTTAGGTAGGTACTAATTCAACAGGTATGTGCCAGGTATGTGATTTTGGCTAATTTAAACAATTTTTCACGGTAATTTTGTTTCTGGCACGTTCTGATTTTTTTATTTTTTCACAAATTTTACTAGTTATTCATTACCTCTAATATATATTAATCGTGTTTATGACATTTCAACTAGAAACTTGACATAAAATCGACGAAATTATCTAAAATTGATCCCATATTAAAAGTAAAATATATAAAATTTTAAAATGTTTGGATTGCAGAAAATAAATCTAAAACATATCATCACATTTACAATATGTTTACAATAATAATTATTGTTTTCAACCAAAGCGTGATATATTTTGATGACGAAAGCAAAACATTGAATATTTTCCTTTTTAAACGAAAGCACACTCGAATACAAGACACACACATAGCAATTATGTACATTTGACACAAATTTTATTTTATTGATTTAAAATCAAATTAGATATAAATTTTCTTATTGCCTATGTATGACAAGATGTAAATCTTATTATATAACATATACAAAAATATGTAATCTCCATGGACCAATTTCAATATTACCATTAATGATTAAGCACAAAAAACCTAGCAATGATTTTTGCTTAGTTAATTTTTGAATTATAATAAAGTCAAAAAATAAAATTTCCACATAAATTCACATAAACATAGATAAAAGGGTAAATAAAAGAATGTTTCCGCCCAGGCTCGAACTGAGGACCTTTCGCGTGTTAGGCGAACGTGATAACCACTACACCACGGAAACTCTTGATAACTTTGGCACCTATTTATTTGTCAGTACACTTTTAAGATTGATCTATCCAAAGATCAATTTATTGAAGGCGTATTTAAAACTTGGCATAGGATTACTTCGTTCATACGCACTCTTTTCTAAGCATCATATCATCAAACAGTACAAACAATTATATTATTTTGTCTCATTTATTTACTGCAAAGTTTTTGATATTTTATTACAATGAGTAACATTACTACAATACTTGCAGATAAAAAATTGAAATTTCTGATTTTTAAAAAATTTGAAATTACTATTCTACATTTTCAGACAATTCTTAAGTTCATCATGAATCCGAAAAAATTAACAAATTGTTTAAAATACTCATTCCTAACCTTAAAACGAACAAAAAAAATTAAGCTACCTTTACCACGCCTAGGACAGAGTCGAGTCGCAGGCGCGCACATATAAATTTTCAACAACTGAAAGTATTTCAACCAAAAGAGAATGTTTCCGCCCAGGCTCGAACTGAGGACCTTTCGCGTGTTAGGCGAACGTGATAACCACTACACCACGGAAACTCTTGAACATCTGAGACTTATCACATCCCAATACACTTTCTAGTTTGATCATTCCAAAGATCATTTAGTTAAAGGCATGTTGAATGAAAGCATAGTCTGGCTTATGATAATATGTCCCTAGCGTATCGTATCGTTATTCACGATTATTTTATTGATTTAATCAATCATGTATTTTTGTTTATTCTTCATTTTATTACATTCATAACAATACTTGCTTTCAAATATGATCTATTCAAAAATCAATTTAATAGCGTGTTTAAAGCTTGGCTTTTATATTTTATAATAATTTCATGGGGACTACTCTTTTCTAAACATTGTGTCAATATTCGCGTCACTTATTTTAAACTTTTCTGTTTTTTATTATTTTATTTATTTGCTGCTTCATTGTCTTAATTTTATTACATGTGGTACTTACGGTTCAAAAATTTAAATTTTCTATGTTGAAATGGTTCAATTGATAATTCTACAATTTTAGACTCTTAGTCAATTTTAAATTTCTTCATGAGTCTAAAGACCTCACTCCCATCTAACTTATAAACAATAAAAAAAAAATTCAAGTCACTTTTTGATACGGTTGATATAGTATAGATTATAGTCAATTATAGTCAAATTGCGATCTACGCGCGGACGCATAAACACACACACAAGCACATACGCACACATTTTTAAAAAGATGTAACGACACATGTTTTAAAGGTTTTGAATGCAGAATTTGAAGTCAATCAAACTTAACCTTGTACAGTAGTATTTTATTTAGTCAAAAAGAGAATGTTTCCGCCCAGGCTCGAACTGAGGACCTTTCGCGTGTTAGGCGAACGTGATAACCACTACACCACGGAAACTCTTGATCAATTTGGGACTTATTTATTTGTCAGTACACTTTTAAGATTGATCTACCCAAAGATCAATTTATTGAAGGCGTATTAAAAACTTGGCATAGGATTACTTCGTTCATACGCACTCTTTTCTAAGCAACATATCATTATTTGCGTAATACAGTACAAACAATTATATTATTTTGTCTCAATTATTTACTGCAACGTTTTTAATATTTTATTACGATGAGTAGCATTACTACAATACTTGCAGATAAAAATTTAAAATTTCTGGTTTTAAAAAAGTTTAAAATTACTATTTTACAAGTTCAGACAATTCTCAAGTTGATCATGAATCTAAAAAATTAGCAAATAGTTTAAAATACTCATTCCTTATTAAACCGATAAAAACCACATTTAACACGCCTCCAACAGAGTCGAATTATTATTCGCTAGCGCACACATATAAAGATTCAAGGACTGAAAGTAAAGTAGTATGCTGATCTTTGAACAGCAAGTAATCTATTCAAACAAAAGAGAATGTTTCCGCCCAGGCTCGAACTGAGGACCTTTCGCGTGTTAGGCGAACGTGATAATTACTACACCACGAAACTCTTAAAGTTCAAGCACTTAGTTATTTTTCATTACACTTTTATGTTCTATCCATCCAAAGATCATTTTATTAAAGGTGTGCTTACTGTTTGGAAGTTAGATTAATAACTTCTTAATGTCGCTTTTTCATATCTTGTTCAATTTTAAATATATTATTTTCATTATTTACATTGGTAACATTTATTAATTTTATTAAAAAACTGAAACCACGTAAAAAGTTTTTGAATCAAATCAAATGTATCATCATTACGTATCGCTACACTGATTTGGCTGAAACTTTTATTAATACAATTAAAAGTTTTAAAACAATCGAGCTCTTCCCGCGTGATATGGAGACTGCAAAACGAATAAATTATTCCTTCATTCAAAACAGATAATCCTTCGATAATAAACAGAGGCTTAAGAAACATCAGGCGTAAACATCTAGGAATAGCATAAAATACACATTCACGCATGTCAGACCAGCGACGTTCGTTCACTTATTTGCACTCCGACGCTCGCACAGCACACAGACATGAATTTTTTTTTAAGACAAATATATCGTCGTGAGCCAGAAAACAATACAAGGAAATCACAAGGTGAGTTGATGTTAACTTGCCAACATTTTTCAAAGTTCGGAATTTACCCGTGTTGAATTTCGAATTTGCAGGAGCCGTGTCATTTAGCTTTAAATTTTTTTTCAATTTGGTCCATTAAGCCAATCTTTTCTTATTTCGAGTTATATTTCCACCTCTTTAATAGTTTTAATTAGCCATTATTTCAATAATGTTGGGTTTTATTTAGAGTATCACGGAACATAACATCATTGTTAAACAAAAGACTTTTGAAATAAAATTATAACGGAATTACTAAAATAAAATAAGTTTTAACATCTAATATGTGCCAACTAAGATCAGACGACCGAAGTCGTCAAACTTTTGCCCTTCCCAGATGTTGGGTTTTAATTTCTCATTCTTAGCTATTTGCAGTATCGGTGCATGCCAAAATATGTAAACAGATGGTGTACATGCAAGCATTCGCATGTATAAATTTATTCAATGTATTCATACAAATGAACTGAACCTAATCATTCAAATCAGGAATCTGTTAACAGAGTTACAAAGCTGACATGCGTCATCAAACTTCGAATGAACAAACCGACGAATGAATGAACGAATGAACGAACGAATGAACGAATGAATGAATGTATCAACTTTAAGAACCTAATTCTTATTACTGTCAAAAGTTTCAAAAGTTCTTTGTCGTTGTTGGTTGTAAACAATCAATTGCCTTCTTTTATGGCAGTTGTGTTTGAAATGTAAACGAACGAACGAATGGTATTAATGTATTAAGTCAACCTGATTGGATGAATGAATAAATTAATAATTTTTTAGTTATATATTTATAGTTATTAGTTATAGTTTTTATTATTTATATTTATTATTTTTATTATTTATAGTTATTAGTTATAGTTTTTATTAGTTATAACATTCACTAATATATATATATATATATATATATATATATATATATATATATATATATACATATTAGTGAATGTGCAGTGTGATATAATGTTACCATTAAACCATATGATGATGAATGTTTCATAATTATCCTTTAAATGAAAATTGACTTGGTCATATTGATGTGCCTAATTTTCAACGTATTCATTCATACTTTCTTTGACCCCTTCATTCATTCATCTGAATGATCATTCTTCTAAAAGGAGCAATTAGTTCTTTTTATTCAGCGCTAATTAAGAAAACTTAGAACAATAATTGCTTTGTCTTCTGTGCCTTCGTTCATTCAGTCATTCATTTTTTCATTCATTTATTTGTATGTTTGTACATTCATTCATTTGTTCGTTCGTTCATTCAGTCATTCATTTTTTCATTCATTTATTTGTATGTTTGTACATTCATTCATTTGTTCGTTCGTTCATTCATTCTCAAAATATTATGTATTAAGTCAATCTGATCATTAGAAAATAACAAATGATTCCATTGCTTAGAGTTTATAAAATGGACAATTGGCCATTTGGCCAACAATAACAAGCTAAGCGAACATCACAATGATAATGAGAACAGTGATAACGATTTTGTAAAACAGGTTTTAGAAAATATTTTAAATATTATATTTCCAGACCTACATCTCATTCAGGATTTCATAACAAATTTGCGTTTCTAACTATACTCCCAACTAAACTTGATCAGAAACATGCTGGGTCGGCTAAAAGGTAGCAAGGCTATATCAGAGATTCAATAATAATCACACATGAGCCGTGCAGTTCCAATGTATCGTGTGTTACAATCTACCCACTAACACACACCATATTCTCTTATGTAATATGAAGTAATGGTTGTTTGGACAAAAGTACAACTACAGAATTTTCAGAATGATCACTGTTCTTTAAAGTTTTCTGGTTAACTTTTTAAAATAAAATGCTGAATGTATGTATTATATACTAATTAATCTATTGGTAATCTATATTACTCTACCCTATAATTATTACTATCTATTAATTATTATATTATATCAACTACTTTTAATAAATTTTAATTAATTTTCTATTACACTATATATGTGATAAGTATTATATGTGTAAGATTTGTCTGTTTGTCACAAGCGTTGACAACTCTGCATGACGTGATGAAATGACATTCTATCAATTTGAATAAAACATGTGTGTGTGTGTGCGTGCGTGTGTGTGCAGTATTTTTCAGTAAATTTTTTCTGATTGCAGTTGTGCTGCTATTGAAAATCAGTCGCAAAAATCATTTTTAGATTTGGGTTTATCGTTTTGTTGCTGTTGTTGTTGCTGATGGGAGAGGTGCTTGTTTTTCGCCTGAGTTTGATCGACAAATGGTTCTTAAGACGTTTCTTGTAAACATGTCTATGTCTACGACTCATGTTGCAAAAATTTTTAAACCAACAGACAACGCATTTCAAATCTCTACCGATGGTACTGAAAATCTCTTTAATTTTTAGCAGTGAGAAGAGCCGAACTGTGGAGGCACCAGGTCAAGAGTCACATCGTTAGAAGGTCTCTGAAACAAGCTGATGTTACTCCTTCTGCTAAAATACATCAAACAACGCATTCATTTCACTGTTTAATTCATTCGCGAGCAAGGTTCCAAATAACAGTGCTTGTTAATGAATTTCTGTTCGTTTACAATTAGAGCTTTTTATAAACTAGGCATACATACGTATTGATACATTTTGATATATATTGATACATATTGATACATACATTTATATTGATAATGAAGATAGATATGTTGATAACCAAGCGACATAATGATAAGAGGCTATACAATGATATCAACTTTAGTGACATTTTGTATGTAAAAAGACATTAACACGAAAGTTCAAGACTAGCAATGACATTGAAATTATGAAAAATTAAGAATGATTTCTTTAGCAAATAGACATTAATCCGGGGACACCAACAAACTTTAGTGAAATTAATATTCGAAGAAAGTTACATAATTTTTTTTAAAACTCGAGTGCTTTTGCAATTACTAGCAGAAACATTGAAACTTAATTTCAATTTTCTTCATTACAATGCATTCATTATTCTTCGATCAAAAATCTAATAACATGCTTTCATGGCAATGTACGTATAATTATTTTTGAAAAAAACTCCATGGGATCTATGAAAAAACTTTTGGCAAATAAACTGTAGTTTAGAAAATTTTGATTTAAATAGATGGAAATTTTCTCTGTCGAATTTGACTTATTGGTTTTAGGTTTGTTGGTAAAGGAAACATAAAAATTTGGTTGTATTGTTTTCCAGGTGTATATTTCCGTAAGTCAGGAGTGTATGTATTGGAATTGAGAAATGCTTAAATCGAATTACAATAGTTTATGCATTGTATTAGTTAGTGATTGTATAAAATGTTTGTATTATGAAAAGTGTATTTAGTATGTGCTGTTTTTCTTGACTGCATTTATTGTATTTCAAGTGTGTGTGTAAAACAATTCTTATGTGTGTTTGAGTATGTGTGTGAGTGTGACTGTGTGCTATTATCAGTTACCTGTCTAGGATTATAATTTATTTGATTAAATATTTGCTTGCCTTAGCCAAGAATCCATTTGTAAATGAAACGTTATCGGTTTGACTTGTGTGCATTGGTGCATAGATATGTTGGTTCTGAATACATACATACACACACCACACACACACCCACACACACACACACACACACTACACGCACGCACTCATGCGCACACACACAAAAAACACACACACATAAATGCTTGTGTATAACATACACGTATATATATATATATATATATATATTTATATATATTTATATATATATATATATACACATGCTTAGTAATAAAAGGTTCGCCGGTTAACTGTTGATCATAAATCTCTTGTCAAAGTATCCAACTATACACGATTTAGTTTTGTTTGTTTGTTTGTTTTCAGAAGTGGAAATACACATCTTTGCAGTGAGTTTGTTTGTTTTATCACCTCAAAACGGCTTTTAAACGACATTTGTTCTCAGGCGTAGAAAGGGCATTTTTTGGGTGGGGACACCTTTAATTGTCAATTTTTCGCCATTTTTCAAAAGTCACCAGGTAAAACTCCAAATAAATTTTCAAAAAAAAAAACTTGTCGGAACGAATGTTTTAGTCTATGGCCGTTTTCTAGTGAAAACTTAAAATTGGTATGGTTTGGTTTAATTCCCAGAATATTATATCAACTTTTTAAATTCAAATTTTTATCTTAAATAAAATGAAAATTCATAGGCGTTTGTAGAAAAAAACTAGTTAATAAAATTTTAGCTAATCTTTCCTTCTCTCTCTCTTTTTCTTTCTCTTTCTCTCTTTCTCTCTCACTCACTAACCCACCACACACGCAGACACACATTCAAACACACACACACACACATCATTAAGCGTGTGTGTAGCTAGAAACATTCTTATTCAAAGTTTTTTTTTCATGATTAATTTACACAAAACTTATTTAGATATTTGTATTTAATTGTTTTTTTTAATTTAAATTTGGCAAAAAATGTTTTATAGTAAGAAGCTGCAACAGTTTCACAGCAAAATTCACGAAATTAACATAGATATTTTGTTAAGCTTGGCATTAATGTACAGTCAAAAATGTACAGTCTACCCCTTGTCTACCCCTCTGAACATCTTTCAGTTTCATCTCCATCAGTATTTTAATTATTGGCCCAGAGCGCAAATCGCATCTCCAGAATTTCACTTGTCGCAAGTGAGGTAACGTAAGAAGCGTTTGAAGCAGGTATCTGGTGGTCCGTGTATTTCTGCTGTTTCGCACTTTCGTAATAATACCTACATGACAAGGTAGGTGTTAATTAATAAAAAATCATTAGAAAATATTATTTGGTAATAATGTTAAGAACTATAAATGGTAATGATATATATATATTTCAGTGTGTATGTGTGCGTGTGGGTGTTGTGTGTGTGTGTGTGTGTGTGTGTGTGTATGTGTGTACAGACACAACACACACACACAAATATATAAACGTATGTTATATGTGTAATATTTATTTTGAT